CAGGAGTGGCTTTCGAGGTGATTGAATATCACAGAACCTGCGTCCAATGGACAGTCGGGATATTCGCCTCGACAGCCGCAGTGTGGGGAAACCGACTCGGATGCAGGCGAATTAATCACTGTCAGACGGCGGTGCAGCGCCCGACAACTCGGCGTATGCGCAACTTCGCTTGAGCTGTCAACCGCACGCTTCGTGGCCCTTCTGCATCGCCCCCGAGATGTCTTAAAAATTAATTAAAGAACGAGACAGACGGGCGAGCACTCACACAGGGATAAAGCGAAGATTAGCTGATGGAAATGGGTAAAATCCAAAGTCAAATTAAACTCCATCCTAAGCCTGTTCTTCGAGAAAACTGAGAAAGCCATTTAAGTTTAGACAAACAAAACGTTAGGCAGAGGATTTCCATATTTTGCACACAGCTTTCTGCCGCCTTTAGGCCGCATTTGCATAATTCCAACATTCTGCAGTAATTAAAATATTTTCCCTAATTTCATTCCGGGCCAAAGCGAAAATTACCGTGCAAATTATAACAATTTGGATGCATTAAGTGCAACAGCAAATAACGATTTCCCTTTCTCTTCCTTTTTCTGCTTCTGCCGCAGCCGTTTGTCCTGCCTCCTTTCCGGTTCCCCGGGCTTTTAATTTTGCATCCTGTAAATGCAAATAGGAATGCAAAGTGGTGCGAGCTTTAAAAGGCTAAAAAACAAACAGATTTCAGCACAACGAAGATGTAACACGCTACATTTCCACACCAGGGAATTTCGGTTTGAAACAATTCAAATAACGCCGTGTGTATTAAGTAAAATTGGATTAAATAATTAATGAAATGAAGTTAAACAATCGGACGGAACTGCTGACCATAAAGGAATAATTTATTATAACAATTGTTATCGAAATTCTATAGGAATTCTTTTGTTGACTTTTTTTAATAGTAAAGCTGAGATAAAGAACAGAAAGTATATCTGATTATACATTGCACGCGTAAACATATTTTCCTTACCACTCAAAACTTCTACAGTTGGCGCATCGGTGTAAAGACTCGCCTCGAGTTGTCCTTTTGATTGCGCCTCCCAAAACACAGTAACGAACGAACTTCTAATGCCCCCAACAAAGTTGCAGCTAAATTGGGGCAGGGTTGCACCATTGGGGGGCACGAAATGAGCCTAGGAAACTTGTGTCTGCAGGTCCGCAGGACTCCTGCCAACTGTTGTCAGTTCGGTTTCTGCCTCTGTCCCTTCGTCACCCGCACCCGCATTTTGCATGCCAGAAATGCGGCGTATTTTCCCAGCCTTCCAAATGAGATTCCGCTAACGGGGCCAGTGTGTGTGTGTGTGTGTCTGGGTGTGTGCGGTTTCTGAGAGTTTAATGCTATTGTTGCATGTTGCACGTACTTCCCCCTTATCCTCCATATCCTGCGCATCATGCCGCACGTCCTGGTTGTTTACACTGCCACTGTTTTCGTTTTGGTTGTCACCGTCAGGCCGCCCCTGCTGGCCCCTGCCGATTGCCACTGGAAAATGGTCTGACTTCAATACGCACTCATGCAAATATAATTTGTGCCCACGCACAGCTCCACCCATCCTTCCTACCCCGTGTCCTGTCGCATCTTTGGCTTTCCCCCAGGTCGCAGACCATGTCCCCATGCAATGACATCAACAGAAGCGGGAGCAGCAGAACTGTAAATAAGTTTTAAATGAAGCACAGGATGTATGCACAATCGCCAAACAACTGGCCACAGCGAGCCAACAACAAATCCTTACAAAAGGGCACAGTTGGTAAGCCAAATCCAAGGACTTTTCATGCTGGGCAGATACATACATATAGAATTGGAATAACCTACGTCATTTTACAGATCTTTTACTAAGTTTGAAGTATAATAGCTATTAATAAATATAAATATATTTCCAATTCTGTAAGTTTTACTATCTTAGTATTAATCCTATAGCTTAAATCTTCAAGTCCTTTCAGTCCGGTACACTTTTTTAAATAAATAAAACCTCTAATAATTTTGGAACCTCGTCGAATGTCTTTAAGTTTTTTGAACTCTTTTCAACCCTCTCTAAACTATATATAACGAATGTCTGTTAATTGGAACCCACCTGGATTAATCCCTATCAGAGCTGAGTACTTCCCTTTGTCCCTCTGCTTACACACATCCTTAATTTTTTACCCATTCCGTACCGCAGGTTGCGTTGCACGCATGGCTGCCTCTGGCTCTGATTTCTCTCCTCGTCTCTCCTCTGCCGCCCATCGCATATCCTTGAATTACATCCTGGATTCTGGCCGCCAATTCAGCGCCACTCGGCCTCAGCGGATTGAACAGCCTGGACAGGAGGCGCCCCGTGGGAAAAGGTCCCATTGTTTTAAACTATACACAGCTCTCGCCCTCTCTGTCCCTCTGGCAGATGTGTGTGCGTGTGAAACTTTACCATGCTTCTTGTTCATGCGTTTATGAAAATTGTAAAAATATTCTCTGATTTTCCCTCTTCCGCTTTTCCATTTGCCTCAAACTTTGGACGCTCACTTGCGGTGGCCAAAGTGTGAATGTGTGAATATGTGAGTGGGCTGGGAGCGTGAGTGTGTGTGTGAAAAGTTCCCCTGTTTCCCGTTGCTAATGAAATATTTAAATGTAATTTTGGGGCGTTAATCAAAATTACGTTAATTAACTGCGGCGAGAACGCTTTAATTAGGCCATACAATATATATACATATATCCATATATACAGATGTATTTTCTCAAGGGATGTCTGCAGTAAGATATTGAACCGCAGAACAATATGACAGCACTTGAAGGGAGTTGGAAAGAAGGAAATATGACTGGTAAGAGACTTTATGTTGCCTACTTTTCTGGGCCGCACTTCAGGTTGTATTTAATTGCTGGCATTTATGTAAGGTATGTAAATATAAACAGAGCTGTGGTCAAAATAATACTATCTCTGGTTGCATAAAAGTCTTATGAAGTGTAGTAAAATCTATATTATATATAGTACACTATACTAAACCAAACTTGATATATTATTATTATATATTATAAGCGTTACAATAACATAATAATAAAGAACTTGCACTCGGAACCTACAAGCCACATATAATTAAGTTTTATTACCAACTTAATATAAGATTTTCGGAAAACTACCGATTAAGCTTTTGGGGGTATTGCTTGACAGAGCTCTACTCTCAAGTACAGCCTTCGAAATAAAAGTGTTATTGTAAATCAACGTTTTTAAGGCAATTGAATTACAAGTGCAGCAACCTGAACACACTGACTGCACTTGGAAGACGACAGGAGCACGGACAAGGGAAGAGTAAAAGGATCAGCAGCAGGAGCAGCAGGAAGAGGCAAGGCGGAAACGGAAACGCCTGCCATCGGAGTGTGCGGTGCTTCATAAATCCTGGCTGGCAACAACCGCAGCACTCACTCCCCACCACCCTGATCCACTGAAATATGCTTGCGTCAGTGCGATGCCAAAATCCGGCTGCAGCTGCTCCACAAAATGATACAGGCAGTAAGATTGGGACTGCAAGGAAGCGTGGTAGTTATCGTTCCACAAATGATTCACTCGCTTGCGCTTAATCTGCCCAAAAAATACTATATAGTCAGGCAATCCCAATCGAATTTACAGTAAACAAAAAAAGGAATCGAAATAATGATTGCATTTCAATCAAGAAAACTTTTAGTAATAAGAAAAGTTTTCCCCAAACCCTCAAAATATCTATATTTTGTATATTAACACGGCGAAATGTCAATTTGCAGAAAGGATTAAAGTGTCAAGCAATTATTTATGTACGAATATTAAAATATCAAGATAATGCCATTAATTTAAACTTAATTCAATTACAGAGAGTTATGAATCAGGCGGAATAACGTGCGACACATTAAATGTAAATTAATCCCGAGCCGTGAGCCCCAACTGGGGATATAAACTTTACCGCTAATGGTGACAGATGCAGCTGCTGCACGACTGAGTCCTCGAAAGCAATGCACTTCAATGTTCGAAATGTTTCTAATTGAATGTGTCAGAGGGGGTGGAGAGGTGGGAGAGTGTATGCGTGTGTGCGTTTATGGATGCATTTTCGGGTGGTGGAAAAGCGCCAACATTGCAAAAAACTAATGTTTGTAAACGAAAGTCAACAGGAGGAGGAGCCATGGTTGCCACAAACAAACAGACAGATCAGCACAAAATCTGATTTCGATTCCAATTTAGAGTGAACAAAAAAAAAGAAATGTTACCCTTGGGACGGACCTGCTGCCCCGGGCGAAATGTCGCCCTCGATTTTGACAGAATTAGAAATGCAAAAGGATTACCGAATGCCAAGCGATTTGCCCAATAAAATGTGTCAAATAAAAATTGACAAAGGGGACAAAATACCCGTCCTTTGTCCCCGAAAGCGACATTATTCATTTGGTAAACGATTGCTCACTGGGGCTGGATTGGGATGCTCGGATGTTGGGGGCTTTGCCGTGTTCCATTTGAATGCCCAACATGGCCGGAGGCCTCAACACTTTCCAATGTTAAACGTCAGACTACTGGGGTCATATGCAAAATAAGCAAAGCTCTTAACCCCAGTTGACTTCATAATATTTATTTTTATTTGTCTGACCAGGATTGTCTGCAATAATAAATAAGTTAGACAAGGATGTCTAAGAAAAGCTATGGAGTTGAAGTCTATTTAAATTATTGTCCAAACTTTGGTTCAAAATACTACACCTTACGAAAATGATCTTCAGTATTTTATTGAATACTTTTAAGTACTTTTTAAATTGGTTTCAAATCCACAGCTCTTTCTGTGAGACACTAGTTTAACACCTTGAATCTCTCACAATTTTAATTTTTATTATATATTTGAAGTTTTCAAGATAGAAAGGGGTTAAAGCCTTAAAGTGGGGCTCAGATTGGTCGGCGAACGCTTTAAATCGGTCATCACGTGCTCGTGAATACGCAAACAGTTAAATAAACTAACTATTGGCCTTTTGTTTTTCAACTGTTTTCGAACTTAACTGTTATGGCCTGTTTATGCCTTTATCCTTTTCGACTCGCCAGGTATTCAGGACTTAAGTGGCGTTTATTCGGCATTCAAATTGCCCAACTGCATTGGCGTAAAAAAATCACGTCAGGATAATCGCGCGAGTCGCGTAAATTGCAGGCAATGCACCCCAAAAAAGGAGCAGCACGCGCTCAGGAGCCGAGAACCGTTGCAGTTTCACTAAACTTCAGCACTGTTTATATGCCACGAGACTCTGAATCGCTTTAGCTTTTCATTTGGCGGCAAGAGCTTTTCATTTGGCGGCAAGCGGCGCACAGTGGGGTAACCGATGCCAACAGATTCAGATTCAAATGATGATTTCGATTCACCCCTGTATCACGCTTAGTTGATTTGATGTCCAAGTTTTGCCTTGTGCCCCACTGTGCAGCGGGACGTGCGCATTGAATGTGTTTCAAATTAACACCGTTAGAGCGCCAAATGTAAACAAACATACTGTTACAAGGGGCGCCTATCACACATACATAAACACAAATGCACATAAACACCACCGGCTTTTGCCAACTTGATATAACAAGTAGAACGATAATAACAAATGCACTCACCTATTAGCATCATCATAAAACCAATTGTATTAATTGCAAGCGACAAACTCAATACGCAACTTTTGTTTTTAGTGAAATTTACGGAGGTGCACTTTCAGGTTGTTGAACATTTTTCCAAATGAATTCAGAAGCTGTTATTTAACATTTTACATCTAACACAATTTTACGCGTTTACAGATACATGGAGTAGAATTCTCGCCCTTGGGGTAGCATTAGCAGCCTGCTCTCATTAACAAAATTCGCACTCGTTGGCTGTCGGGTAGATGTAAATTAACAGAATTCTCCCTTGTCGTTGTCGGGTGGTTTTTTGTTGTTGAAAATAGATCAAAATACCAATATATGAATATATTTTATTTTGTCTTTTGATATTTTTCTTTTGGTCACTCTGAATTCCGAAGTTGTTATTTAACATTTTACATCTACGCTATTTTACACGCTAACAGATTTTCTTCTCGGGTAGGATGTAAAATTCATTAATAGTGCAAGGCTGCGGCTTCTGCTTTTTTTCCGCCAAATCTGACTATTTTTAAGATTAGAAAGAATTACGGTAAGCCGAAATTCCGTTTTTTTTTTTTTTCAAATGTATTTTTAATTTGTTTCCTTTTTTTTATAAGAATAAAACTAAAAATTATATTATTATATTATTATTATTATCTTTAATAACTAGTTATTTATTACTATAATTATATATTTAATAAAAGTTGAAATATTGTTTAGTTTATGTAGCCATAAATGCAAAGTGCAGTGTTCTTATTACGGCAATGTGCGAAATAAATTTGACAACCCGGCTTTTTAAGCAAAGGAGGAGCCACATTACCACGAGACGACAAGCAGTTTGGGAAGCACTTTTTTATTATTATTATGTAAATTTGCTAGGAAAATAAACAATCTAATCTTTTTTACTTTGATTCGATACTATCGTTCTTATTGGATTTGTATTGAAGTCATATTTTTTAAAAACTTGGTCCCTCTACTCGCCAATGCTAGAGATACCAGCTCCATTCATTGCATTAATACCACTTAGCAAAGACCCAAGCCAGCGAACAGAAAAGCCTCAACAACTTGTAGCAGTAAAAATATTTATACGAATTCCCTGTTTAATAACGAATAAAGCAAACTTATAAATAATTAATATCATAGTGAAAATGTGAAAGTGTTCTTTGCTTTTGAAATGACATCAATTTAAAATGCATTTCAACGGACTAACTCGCTGTGAAAATTTCGTACAGGCAAAAAAGAGCCGATTTTTAGTGGAGGAAGAAGCAGCAGCAGCAGTAAAAGCAATCGTCGAATACACGGACAAAGCGCACGGCGAATGAAAGGCGTGTGAAGAGAAAACTTGCAAAAATTAAACCAGCAACAACAGCGGCTACGGCGAAAAGTGTGTTTAGAAAAGAAATTAAAAACACACACGCACATATACATACACACACAACGAATCCCCACAACCACAACTCAACGCAAGAGAATTGGTGCAAAAAGCGAAAAACGAAGTAAAATAGCGCGCGGTTTAATAATAAATAATTATATGTATGCGCGCAAAACATGTGAAGAACCGGGGAGCCGCAAATACAAATACGAATACGAAAAATCAATGAGATTGTAATAAAATTCCGTATTCTCGCTATCGCTCCTCCCTCTCTATATCTCCGTCTCTCTCGCCCCGCGGCTCTCGCGCCCGCACTCGCTCTCTCTCTTGTCTTGTCTCGCGAGCGCAGCCATCAGCAGCGGAGCAGAGCAGCAGCAGCCTCTCGCCTTGTGTCTGTTTGTGTTTCTTGTTGATTTTGTGATAAAATTGCAATCGGCAATCAGCAGCACGACACTCGGCTCGGCCAAATAATAATAGTATTCAAAGTATTAGGGCGACAAACAGTAAAAGGTGCGTATGCAACAGCGACAGCAGCAATAACAACAAATAGCCATCTGTGTGCGCCCGAGTGTGTGGCAAAAAGTAGAACGTGCGAGAGAAAACCCGCGTACCGAATTTGATGACGTCTTCAGCTAGACAACAACAATGGAGAAATATCGGTAGTAATGTAGATATTTCTCATTTTTGTTTTTTCCCCTTGCCGTTCTGGGGGCAGCGTCGAAGCTGATAAAGAGAGCGATGGAGAAACACCAACACCGACCGGTATTTGATCGTCGGTGCCAGAACCCTTGGTACTTGGAGCCCTCAGAACTGGGAAGTGGCAACTGAAAATCGATCTCGATGAGACGGTTCTCCATCGCTCGTTTCATAATAGGCGCCCAATAACACCCTCTGCTTTCTTATTTCTGGCTAAAATGATAACAGCTGACACGGTCTATAGCTTCGCTCTCTGTGTACATTTTGAGACTCCCAGAGAGACGGGACTGCCGTATTCAAATCGGCCGAGTTCTGTACAGTTTTCCGTGCCATTAGATATTCGATAGTGCTTAGTAACGGATGCACCTGTCCGCCAAACCAATTGGCCTTATCGCCACGCGCCCTGTCTCTCCGAGTGACAGCTCACTCCCGCGCCAACTCGCTGTCAATCCCCCAATCCCAATCCCCACACAGTGCCGGCAGTATCCGGGCATCGGCGTGAATTCTGGAGACGAATTTCGTTTCGAACGACCAACCAGCCATTTGACTGCCCTACCCGTTGGCCTTTTGCTACCTACCAAGCGACCTGGCCGAGAGGCCAGGAGCATCACTCACTCACCTGGCGGAACGAGCGAAGCACCAAAGTCAAGCCAATAAGTTTGCGATCAGGCTAAACTCTCCATATTAATGCATCAAAATAAGAGTAGGGAGGGATAAGGGATCCTAAATCGATGGATAACTTTTAAATTTTTCAAGTACAGAGACGTTTAAATAGTTGTGAATTGTTGAAATTGACTTCATAATTGTGCAACAAAATTAAAGATTTTTATTTACATTCATCAATTTTGGTTAATTCAAATTATTAGATGAATTTTAATTTTACAAAAAATTCCTGTGATTGCTAATAAAGTTAAATATATTATTTTTATTTCAACTTATTCAATTACCAAAAATTAAACTCTAACAAACAATTTTAAAGACAAGTCTACAAAACACATTTTGGCGAAAAGTTTTCAGGTTTTGGGGCCAAAACTTTTGACGGTTAGTGTGGCACTTGTGCCGTTTTGTCGACAATGCGCGCGCTCCCTCTCTCGCACTCACGCAAGTACACTCGCTCACACACACACACAGATCAACACTCCCGTACGCAACACAGGCACACGAAAATTTGCAACACACATACATACACACAAAGTCGCTCACTTTGCCCTCTCTCACTCATGCTCTCTTTCTCTCCCTCTGCTTTTTTCTGTTTTTAGTGGTTGTGCAAGAAGAAGCAGCAACAATCAGGCAGAAAAATACCTGAAAAAAATAAACGGTAAAACGAAGAAGTAGCGAAACACCGCAGAGAGCGCGCTAAAAAGTTTATATTGTAAAAATCCAAAAAGTAAAAGCACATAGTGTGTGTTTAATCTCCATTCGCTCCACGGTAAAATTTTTTATTAAAATGGTGGAAGTAATAGAGCGGCGGAGAACGGCTGCGTGAGCCCAAAGCGCGGCCAATTAAAAAACAACAACATCGGCAGCAGTAGCAGCGCAGCAGCAGCCGCTGAAGAAGAAGCAGTAGAAGCAGCCGAAGAGGAAACAGCAAGAGCCTCGAAAAGTACATAAAAGTATAAATTTAAATAAGGTGGAAGTTGGTAGACGAAAAGCGAACTTCAAGCGCAAAGAGGAGAGAAAACCGAACCGAACCGAGACCACCTTGCCCCAGCAATAACAATACCAGTAGCAGTAGCTCCAGTCTCAGCTTCAGCTCCAGCTTCACCAACAACAACATTAACAACATCACAAGCCACAGTAAAATGTACGGAAAGTCAAAGACATCAGCGGTGCCATCGGATGCCCAGGCCCGCGAGAAGCTGGCCCTGTACGTGTACGAATATCTGCTTCATGTCGGCGCCCAGAAGGCGGCACAGACATTCCTCTCGGAGATCCGGTGGGAGAAGAACATAACGCTTGGAGAGCCACCGGGATTCCTGCACACTTGGTGGTGTGTCTTCTGGGATTTATACTGTGCGGCGCCAGAGCGCCGTGACCAGTGCGACCACAGCTCGGAGGCCAAGGCCTTCCACGACTACGGATTCGTTAGCTCCGGCTATGGAGTGAATGGCATCGGACCCGGTGGTCCCCACAATGCCGGTGGACCGGCACCAAGTCCACTTGGCCAGATGCCACCCGGTGGCGATGGAGGTCCAATGGGTCCTGGAGGACCAATGGGGCCCAATTTCTTCCCCAATTCGACCATGCGGCCTTCGCCGCCTACGCATGCCTCCAGTCCCCAGCCGCCGCCCTCCCAGATGATGCCCGGCCAGCCGCCGTTCATGGGCGGCCCCCGATATCCGGGTGGACCACGTCCAGGCGTGCGCATGCAGGGCATGGGTAACGAGTTTAACGGCCCGCCCGGTCAGCCGATGATGCCCAACAGTATGGACCCCACTCGGCCCGGAGGCGGAATGGGACCGATGAATCCGCGTATGAATCCGCCACGCGGTCCCGGCGGCATGGGACCAATGGGCTACGGTGGACCTGGAGGGATGCGCGGACCAGCACCCGGACCAGGTGGAATGCCACCCATGGGCATGGGTGGAGCAGGAGGCCGACCACCGCAATGGCAGCCCAACGCTTCGGCGCCATTGAATGCTTACTCGTCATCGTCGCCAGGCAACTATGGACCAGGTCCCGGGTCGAATGGACCGCCTGGCCCTGGAACGCCCATCATGCCGTCGCCACAGGATAACACGCAAGGAGGACCTGTGGGAGGACCCGGTGACAGTATGTACGCCCTAATGAAGCCCGAATTCCCGATGGGTGGCGGACCAGATGGCGGCGGCGGTGGAGGCGGACCAGGTGGCATGGGACCGATGGGCGGCGGGCCCAATTCGATGGGCCCTGTACTTAATGGTGGCGGTGGACCAGATGGCACTGGCCTGGACGGCATGAAAAACTCGCCGGCCAACGGAGGACCTGGGACGCCGCGCGAAGACTCTGGCAGCGGCATGGGTGACTATAATCTGGGCGGATTCGGAGGACCAGGCGAGAACGACCAGACCGAATCGGCGGCCATTCTGAAGATCAAGGAGAGCATGCACGAGGAGGCCAAGCGGTTCGAGAAAGACACAGATCATCCGGACTACTTCATGCCATAACAACATCATCAGCAACAGCAGCAGCATCTCAACACAGTGGCCGCCGCTGTGGCGGCAGTAGTGGCAGCTGCGGCGTCCAATGGGTCGGCCGGCAGCTCCTCGGCAGCCGCCTCCATAGCGGCTGCTGCTCTGGGGGCCGCCGCCTCTAACCTGCTCAGCAATGGCGGCAACAATTTCTGAAGGCGACGACACACACAGCAACACAGCAAATAAAAACGCGGTAGTAGAAATCCTTGATACATAAGCATAAAGTAATTAACATTTAACGCATGTATGAGAAATAGAGAAAGGCAAAACAAAAACAAAAGCGAAAACAACAAAAAGCCCTTAAATATAATAGACTAAACTAAAGCGACAAAAGCAAGCAACAATTTGTAAAATGTAAAACTGTGGAAGGATCCAAACGGGCGTTTGCCACTGCCACTGTCTTTGATCGGCCTTGATTTCCCACTGTTGATTTTTAAATAAGTTCGTTTTGTCTGTTGTATTCTATGCTTAACTTTAGTTTTCGATCGAAAGTTCAACCAACAAGAAAGATAAAGACGATATGGGGCAGTGGCGGTGCTGGCAGAACGAAAAATCACCAAGATATTAAAAAGTAGAGGATGCAAAACCCCGCAGTAAAGGCAACAGCAACAGCAGTAATCTTAATGATCAAGCAAATATATACTTAAAGTAATGTTAAACATGTACGCAACTAATTAAGTGAGTCCTCTGTTTAGTTTAGTTGTTACAACGGATCACTACGTAACCTCACACCAGACCCGACTCATACTCCTCTCCAAATCAATCCAATCAGTCATCTATATCTCGCTTATACCGGAAAGAAAAACACAAGGAAATTATAATCGCGAATCACTTTTTTTTATGTTGAGCTAGGCGCAACAGAAAAGAATGAAATCAAGCATAATATGAATGATATATATTTATAATGATAATACCTAGTTGAGTATATAGTTAGCATTATTGGACATGTACTATATGGATAGTCTGTAACTAACTCACGATCGTACTAAACATGCACTCTTCTCGAACTGCTGGCCCGTATGCCTAAGCTTGTCCCTTAAATTATATTCCTCCTAATTCTTATTGTACAAATTGTAAACTTGGCACTGTCTATCTCCCCGTCTCTGTGTTTGTTTGTTTTGTTTGCCTGAAGTTTGAATTTGTTGTATTGTTTTGTGTCTAATTGTTTCTCTCATGTATTTATATTTTAACCAAACGAACTAAAATGGAAAAAATCGTTTTTTTAAGTTCCTTCCAACGGCGAGCAATACCATTTTGTATGAGATATGAGATACGATCTGTACGATAATTTTCCCACAGTTTGCACTCGTTTCGATTTCCTCACGGCATCATGTGTGTGCATTAGTAGGGACAGCGAAAGAAAATTATATAGAACGCTACATATATGTATGTAAACATTATATATATATAGACAGAACCCGAAACGGAAGCAGATACAGATTGTAGCCTATTGTATGCATTAATTTATTGCAAGATAGCTACGCGCATAACTATAAGATTTAGCTGTTTAATATGCATATAAAAAGTATATTTATATATATTTCGTAAAATAACGGCAGCAAGGCAACGGCAAATTGTAGAAACCTAACCTTAAAAAATGTTTACTTCAAAATATCACACTTAAGCTAACATGAATGCTGTACAAACAAAAGTCTATAAAGTACATAAAACATATATAATCTTGTAAATGTCTGTGCTTGCCATCCTTTTAACGGCGATGATGCAGCACATTTTGCATTCGTAGACGATCGAGTCCGTACAGTAGCATTAGATTCGAAGCTAATTATTAAGTCCCAGCAACATAAACAAATCAAAACGGAGAATATATACCTAACAAGAAACGAATGAAATTTCTTTATAGCAAACACACACACGAACATTAACACACACACACAACACAAATCAATTGATAAAGTAATCGTAACAAATATCTATTTTAAATATTGTATATGTTTAATGTGTCGGAATTTACAATATGTATGAGCAAGCGGAGAAAATTATAGTATGTGCATGCGTGCAACATGAATTAAATTTAAATTATAGTATGAAAGGGGGCCGCATCATCAATGATGCTGCGACAAGCGAAAAACTTAAGTAGTAACTAAGATAAATTTATTTACTAACGCTTAAGGTTGAAGCGTTTCAATTGCTGGATCTAAATACACATAAATAAACACAACAAAATCCAACAATTATGGATGGAGTGGAATTAAGTAAACAAAAAAGTATATGTAAATCGCCCAAACCCAACAAATAACAAAAAAATTGCAAAAGTAAAATAGAGAAAAATCTAAAAAAAAACAAGAATGGAATGCGAAAAATCGATTGAATATGAAAATAATGTTTAAATAAGTATTTTAGTGTTAATTATACAATTTACAAGTACACAACACAAACAAAAAAACACAACAATATAAATATAATATAAAATGAAATAAAGTTTTAAAACAATATTTGTAAAAAGTAAAGAAAATATTTGTGTTTTGGATATTTCCCCTATTCTATTTTATAATATATTATTATATATTTTCTGTAAGTCTCTTTTTTGTCCCCAACTATAAGTTATACTCATCCTAGGTCAATAATATAACCACAGGTACAAATAGGTATGTTATTCAATAGTCAACCTTAATTGTCTTCAAGTTATGTATATCTGACAGATAATAGTTTTGTTCTCGGTAATACAGCAACATCTGATACTGATGGCATGCATTGAAAATATGTCTGTTCCCGTTGGTATTAATTGAACAATTTGGTGGCAGCCAATGCGTGTGTTAGTAGCCCGGCTATCTGGCGTCAGACACAATTGGCGCAGCACACGCACATGGTCAGTGAATGGATATCGCAGAGCGTTGGCGCAGGGATTGGAAGCGGGAATGACGATTGGTGGTGTTGTTGTGGCAACCGTCCTTTCGATTGTGGCCCATACAAATTGGGGTACTAATTACACACCCGCTGGACACTCGGACCCTGTTGACGTTCTATTCGGGCGCTGCACAAAATCGATAGACGATATAGGAAGGAAAAATGCATGGCCATCCAAGCGAGTGCCCGTATTGTTCTCCACCAATCGAGGACTATATTTGCGCCTGGCTCCTGGCCATCCGGGGAATCAGATGGAGGTGTTGACCCTTCAGCCACGCGGACAGAACTACAACATCAGCTTTTGTGATCTGGAACGCTGGGTAAGTCCGAGGAATCCTGGGAATCTGAAATGTGTCATCTGCATCCTGGAATATCGCCGATTGTGTCCTTACAGAGCACCAATCGGGCTAATGTGGTCAGCCTGGAAGACACCTTCACCATCATGCAGCAGCGGAACATGTCGCCGGAATCTCACAACTATCAGCCACGCCTGTGGAAAAACAACGTCAGCTACAGTTTGATGCACTGAACTTATGATTTTTCAAATAATATGTACATCTAGTTACAACTCTTTTTACTTTAAATAATCCTTAACATACGAGTTTTAATTCGATTTATGTATAAACTAGTGGATGCGGGAAGGATGCCCGCTTTTAGGCTACCGGCTTTAGGCCGTGTTGCTCGTCAGTGACGCCATCAGAAATTCCATTTTGTTGAGAAAGCTTTTGCCCTCAATTTTGTCGAATCTCACCTGAAAGATACCAAGAATTATGTGGCATTATCATAAGCTTTTAGTTTAATGTTTCCCGATGCCAAATACGCACCTCTTTGAAAGTGCCACCCAGATTCTCCCAGAGTTTCTCGGGCACCAAGGGACTGGGGAAGAAGTCCTGGCGTGGACTTCTCGCTATGTAGACCTTGACATCGATCTGGGGATCGCAGCGAATCTGCACGGCAATCATTCGATCGCTATTGGGTGAGGCCAGTAGGCAGGAACTGGCGTTGCCCAGCGGCTCCACCTTGCCAATGCCCAAATGATTACTGTTCGAGAGCACCGTCCAGGCCATGCAGCGGGCCAAACTGATGAGGCATGAGATCTGATGTGAGTTGATCTGGCAAAGGATTAGGTCGCGCAGTTCCTGTGGTTCGTAGGACAGCCGCATCACGCGTCCGTCCCGGCAGATGCACTTCAGTGAGCGCTCCTTGACGTGGATAACCAGCGAGGTGCGTCCAATGGCATCATATCCGTGCGTCACAATGTTGATTTTCACGCACGACATGGTGGGGCTGTTCATTGCGTTCCAATGTGACACAATCTGAGGGTCTTTCACATCTCTGGCCAGGGTATCTAGCACGTACTGGGTTCGCTTTCGCATAAAAATGTGCTGCGCTTGTGCTATAATCTGCTCAAGAATGGTCTGCGATTTAGTCATGTCCAATAGAGTCTCTCGGTCCGCAGCCATGGGACCGGCCAGCATGCGCTTCTTCGTTGGCCCCAATGGAGCACTGGCCGGGTGCGGGAACGGATGATGCGAATTCTTGTAGTGTACTTCCCGCAGCAACTGGTGGAGCGAGTGCTCCAGCACGTGGTCGTGGTCGTTGATGGGCGCCGGCAGACTGGAATCGAATGTGGTTGAGTGGCACAGAGAAATGATCAGCTGGATATTGGGCAGCAGGGTGGCACGAATCTGGTTGCCAATGACCACATGAGGTATCGGGGCCTGGAGCTGGATGGCTTCGCGGGCTAACTGAGCGAATAGCTCCTTGCAGAAGAGTACGTTTTGGGCGAACTCCAGCGTTTTCTGCCAAACGCCTACCTGAGCAGTTATGTTTGGTCCGTGGCCCATCAGGTTCACTTGGGCCGTGCACAAGTCTTCCTGGTCCTTTTGCGTGATCACCTTGATGTAGGCCACGCCTTGCAGCTCGGCAGGCACAATCACCCGCAACGCGGAGCTGGCTTTCAGCTGCATTCCATTGTTGCCTGAGGTGCTGCTACTGCTGGAAGAGCCGACAGTGTCGTCGTCTGGTGCCTCTTCCGCCTTGGTCACCTCAAAGGTGCCGCTCATCCCGAACTTTGAGCCTGCGGTGCGATAACTCAGGTCCCCGATAATTGCGTTGGACACCTTCTTCAGGCGCCAGTTCTGACGCAGGCGGAGCAGTTCGATGTGGAAGTCAGACACGTTGCGAGTGCGCTGCTCGCTGTGGGCATTTCTCAGGCGCTCCGCTCCTCCTAGCAGTACTTGTGCCGCCTGTGAGATCGCCTTCTTTCGGCTGTACACCTGTACGATCGGCTTGGTGTCGTCGCCCTCCTCCAGCAAAGGATCCAGCACCAAGTAGCGCTTGTCCTTGGCTATGGAGATCACGTCGGACAGCACACAGATCTCGGTATAGGCATCCTTCAGCTTGTTGCGCACAGCGTCCCATGGCCAGAGGCTCTCCTGGAATTGCGTGGCGTCCTTGTTTTCTTCATCAGCTGCCGCTGCTGCAGCCGACTTCTCCTCTTTCTTCAGGTCGTCCAGCGACGTCTTGCTGAAGTCGATGCGGGCCGCACATTTCGCCAGACTCTCGGACAAAGTCGGCGGCCTGAAACCAAACCCAACAACTTGTTTACAAGAGTACCAGAACTCAACTTTACGAACTTACGGTTGGTAGAGTTCCGTGCCATCGTAGCCAATCTCACGAATTTGGTTCTCGCAGGTTGTTTCCACCGAAATATTGACCGAATTTGACATTTTTTGAGCATTCGCCGGAAAACATTTGCAAAAAACTCAAACTAGAGCTGCACAAACAAAGATGTAACTGCGATTCTATCGATGTTTTCAAAATGCGATATATCGATTCCGGCTTCTTGTCGGCCATATCTAGCTTGGCCCGTCTATCGAATCAAATTGCGGCGCTCTTAAACCAAACATTGAGAAACTTTAAAAACAAGCCAAAAAATGAATTTTAACAGTCATGTAGATTCCACTCTCAACACACTTTTAGAAAACACAAAGTTTCTAAAGGAAATGGAGGCAGGTGAGCGAAATCTTTGAAGCCAAAATCTCATAAAACATTTCAGCAAGAACTTTAACATCCGACAGTCGTATCCGAGCTTGATGTCGATGGCGAATACGCAAAACTTATGGAAGACAGCTCCCAGCGACGCGTGTCGGCAGCAGAGATTCTAATCGGGTTGAAGAGCAAACACAAGGCCTTGGATCAGGAGCTGCGGCAGTGCTCTAACGAGAGCACCACCATTGAGGAGCTCGAGCGAAACTGGCCTCAGCGGCAGGAGGCCACCGAGAAGAAGACCACGAACGTCAAGAAAACAACTGAGTACAAGAACTTTAAGAAGACCGTGGAGGAAACATTGACCATGGGCGAGGGGGTCAATGGAGGAGCAAGTGGCGAAGGCGACGATAACGACATTATCGTGGAGGACGACATGGAAACCGGGGGCGAGATATTCTCGATGTATGATCCCTGGTCCAAGGCTCTGATGCGCAATCCCGTGCGCAACACTCATTGTCGTCATCTGTACGATCGGGATTCGGTTTTCGCAGTCATAAAGAATAACATAGGCATTCGCTGTCCAGTCTTAGGATGTGCCAACAACAAATACATCCAGCCAGGTCACCTTGTCCGGGATCTGAAAGTCCAGAAAATAGTGCGAGCGCGTATCGCTGAGGAGGCGCAGGAGCAGGAAGTCTCCTCGTCAGAGGATGACGACGACGAAAACTGAGCTATTTATGTTATTCAAATATTTTTTTAAGTATATCCAGAAACTTTAATATAGAGCAATGTTTTATTTTTTAAGGTGTTGATTTTGTACAACAAGTATGTTTTAAGATTTATTATTGAAATCAGTCCCAGTGCGGTAAATGCTGGCGATGGAACTAAGTTGATGACGCCCAAAACAAACAAAAATCGGTGTTACCGATTAATATTGTCATCGATTTTTCACCACCTCTATTTCATATTTTGACTTCTCATTTCGGAACAACAATTTCTATTCCACAAAAATGCTTTTTCTCAAGGAAAAACGAACCTCTCTGGATCTGACTGAGTATACAGTCATCATCCCCAGCATCTGCGTGGGCAATGCGGCGCAGCTGGCCTGCGACCTGTTGATCGCCTCCAAGAAACTGCGGCGCATCGGATCTCTTACACATCCCGCTCTGATCCCGGTCTATGGACCGTCGGCCTACCAGCACGAGCCCAACGAGAAGGTATCGTCTTGCGAGCTGTATGAAGGCGCCGAGGACAAACTGCTAGTGGTGCAATTTCGGGCGCCGTGGATTGCCCGCCACACCGGCAGCTTTCAACAGGAGTTGGTGGACCTGCTCAAGGGTGCCCGCCGGGTGGTCATACTCAGCGGAAGCTTCGGCTTTGAACGACGGGTGATTGAGGAGTCGCCGTGGGCGTATCGAGCTAGCGACAACTTCAAGGAGATCCATGCTGCCCAACTGGGAAATGCAGAGCTGATCAAATGGAAAGAGCACACTGGCGAGGCTATTTACGGTGGCGGAAATTCTCTGCAGCTTTACAAAGCCTTTGACGAGAAAAAGGTGGCCGTGATGCTGCTCTTCCGCTACCTCCTTGAAGGAGACAACTCGACGGATGCTTCCTTGATAGTCAAAGAGCTAAACGAACTGTGCGAGGATTTCCTGCAGCTGCGCAGCGGCAGTGGAGGCGACAGTAGCTTCAAGCTTACGGTGCCCAAATCCTGGAACCTGCTCTTCGGCAACGACATCACGGAACTTCTATTTTGAAATCTAGCTTAAGTCTGTCTTTATTTTTCGGTGACTTCAAATATAAATACGTTAATCATTTGGTGTAGGATAAAAAATATTGCTGGCTTTGTGTTCGCGGAAGAACTCGCTGCCCTTCTCCTGGTAATCCTTGCGTGTTGTAAGCGTCTGGCCAAAGCTAGGATCCTCGGCCTGAACACAAGCTCCCAGCCAGGCGCTTAAAGTGGGGCCATCCGATTCGTAAATGGCGAAATTCGACTGAAACGGTCGCATTTCCAGCAGCTCCTTCGCCAGTCGTTCCTTCAGTCCCCTGAACTGACTACAGCCACCTGTCAGGTAGACATGATCCACCATGCGCTGCTGCTCCTCGGCGGGAAAAAGCTTTAGGACAAAGGCTATTAGCTCGGCGAGCCCAGCCTCCGAGCAGCCAATCATGCTTGGCTGGAACAAAATCTCCGGCACGCGGATGTCTTCCACCCCAAAGTGCAGTTGGTAGTTTTCAGCAGCGCTCTGGGCTTGGACATTGGAGTTGCCATCGTCGAAGTTGGCATCGTAGTGGTTGAGGATCTTTTCGAACTCCAACAGCTGCTCGTTGTCTGCATCCGAGTCGCTGTCGTCATTGTACCGATTGATCCGCTTGTAGACGTCCCAGTCGTTATCGTTCATACCAAAGCCGTCGTCCTCCTCCTCGCCATTGGCTTTGCGTCGCTTATCGCTTTTCGCCAACGATGAGATGATTCGCATTCGTTCCTGCGCGGCGTGCGTGTGCCGTTTGGCCTGCTCTGATCGCTGCTGCTGGCGGGCTTGCTTACGCCGTAGCAGTTTTTCTCGCTTACCATGAATATCTGCCAGCCAATCGCCCTGTGAGATTCCCTCTGGGGGCTTGGGCATTTTGTCCAACTTTTCCTGTTGCTTACTAGGTCGAGGAGCACTCGTAGCCCGCTCCTCTGCTCGTTTAATTCGAGAGTTAATGGTGGCGATTAGGGAATCCAGTTCCTCTAAAGTACCGATCTGTTGCTGTTCCAGTGCCTTTTCGAATTTTTGCAATTTCTGCTGTTCATACAGTTGTCGTAGCTTATTGTAGACAAACAACTGCTGCTCATCCTCGCGCAGCTTTTCTCGTTCGCGGCGGTTTTTGATCTCAAGGAGGCGTAGTGCCAGCTCACGGCGCTTCTCTTGCTTTTGCTCGGCGGTGAGCAGAGCATTTGTGGCGGTCACGGCATTGTAGGGAAGTTGAATTTTCATGATGTGCTCCTCGTAGTAGTCCAATTGAGCCCACTTCACCAGCTCGTCTCTGTAATCCACGGCTATGTGGCAATGTTCATGCACCAACTTCTCCATCCTGCTGATGGTGATGGCGGTCAAATGAACTGGGTACTTCATTTGCATGAGCCGAAAAAGGTATGTGATGATGTGGTAGCCTCCCACATTTAGACGCCGCACATGTTCCAGCTGAATTTTGCCCTCCAGCACGGGGATCACATGAGTGGTGCTATAGCCGAAGGAAATGATCAGGGCATCGGAAATCTAAGGCGGAAAAATTAGTTAATTATTTTGAAATGACTTAGGAGGTCCCAAAAGCACCTTCCTGCGGCTCTGCTGATAGTAATCCCAGCTATAGAGAGCATCTATGCCGTAGGACACAGCAGGAATACCGTAACACTCAAAGAGCAGCTCGCTCATTTGCTGGCGACAGAAGTTGGGATTTGCCAGGGCCTCAGTCAACACAATCGGATGATTGATGTTTTCCTGTCCCTCAAAGCCCATTTTTGTGAATATGTAGTCGAATATCTGCTCCTGATGGTTCCAGTTGGTTATCACGTTTCGCTCAAAGGGTGACTTCAGATGGGCACGCACCGCCTCGATGTTGGTGATGTCGTTGCCCACCTGGATTTCGGCGGGTGCCTCAACAGCCGCCGACGTGGTGCCGGCACCCTCAGAGGAGCCGATGGCTTCCTTTTTGCGATCCTTTCGCGGCTTGGTCAGCACATTGCGGAATCGCAGAGCAGGTTCTTTGCAGTCACTCCAGCCCACGCGGCATTCGTAAGACCCATTGTCGATGACCAGGACACGCTGATCACCCATTGCCAAAAGGTTTTTTGTAAAACAACTTCAAAACAAAACTCATAAATATGCGTGCAGCAACAATGTCCGTCAAATTAGCGTCGATGAGTTAGCGTCGAAATGGAACGGTGGAAAAATGGAACATGGAGGGGATCTTTAATTTTTAATTTATTTCGTAATTAAGGCACTTATTCGAATACAAAAAGTTTCTAAATGCTAAAAAATATATTTACTATTGTTTTTTTTTTTGGGTTTAAAAGTATTTGACATTTGGATATATTTAAAAAAAACGTGAAAAATCGTGTTTTCACGGATTTCTTAATATCTCGGCTAATCAAACGCGTGTAGCAATACCCGGAACGAAAAAATAAAGGACATTTATTGTAGTTTTACTCTACCAAGTTTCAATTTCTTCAAACTGTCAGTTTTTGAGCAAAATTGTAAGGCTTATAACTTCGATTTATAAACGCGTGCACATATGCACGGTATATAGGCTTACGAGGGGAAGATTAACGAATATTTAGTGAAAATTTCAATTGTTTTTAACCTTCAGATTTTGAGAAAATCGAAAAACAGTGGGTGGTGTATTTGGGCTAATAGCTAAGGCGCGAAATATGAAATGAAACTAGATGGGAACCAGCAGAGAACCACTCGCTGAACCAGACCATGGAACCATGTTAAGAAAAATACTAAATTAAATAAAAATTAAGAAAAAAACAACAATTGTATGAAATATGCATCCCCCATGAATGGAATTGCCATTCCAAGCGTTTTGTTAGTTGTTTTATCAAAATCCGTTCAGTCGTTCATGAGAAAACCTCACTTTTGCATATATTTTCATAAATGTTCCTACGAAGAATAAATATATCTGGCAGCACTGCCTGCCTAAAATTAAGTCAATTTGATTTAATCTTTATTATAAAACTTATTCAAACTGAAGATCGTACCATTAACTAATGCTTGGAATTTGGCATTTTTCACATGCTTTTTGTAATACATCCAAATTTCAAATACTTTCAAACCCAGTAAAAAACAATAATAAATTTATTTTTTAGGATTTAGACACCTTATTTTTTCGAATTAGTGCCTTAATTTCGAAATAAATTAAAAATTAAAGATCCCCTCCATGTTCCAATTTCCCACCGTTCCATTTCGACGCTAGTTTGACGGACATGCAGCAACATTGCAAAAATGGCAATAACGCCAAGTGGGGCTGGCCACACTTGAAACAGCTGATTGTTCCCATAAAATTGCACTTTTATGGCGATAGCCCGATAACCCGATAGCCAAAGAAAAAGGGGAAGACAAACAATGGAATAAAACGATCGGATTACTGTTTTTAATTCCTTTTCTTCTTTGCCGGCCCGAAAACACATTTTTTAGTTAATCAAACTTTAATATTTTTAGCTGTGTGAATCAAAACAGAAACTTTAAGACATGTTTGTTAAGATTAAATTAGAATCCGAGGAGAACTCGAAGGTAAGCTGTTGGTAATTTGTAGGCAAGTTTTGGCGGCACATGCAAATAAAGCTAAGCTTGATGGCAATACTCTAACCAGCACAACAACTTTATAATACTTACTCTTGTTCCTCAGAAACCACACATATTCGAAATCGAAGACGGAGCCACCATGTATGACCTGAAGGTCCAACTGGAAACTCTGGTGGGAGTACCGGTCGATCGTCAGGAAATCCACAGTCTGGCCAAAACACTCGGCAACGACGACCGACTGACTACCTTGTTGCGGAGTCAGGACTTTGGCGATGGCATTGAAAACGTCAATGGATCGGCAATTTCGCTGTTCCATGCACAGACATTCGTTTGCTTTTTGCAATTCTACTCCCCATCCGAAGTCGACACCCAAAGACAGTTCTTTTTACAGCCCGAAGATGCAAGGAAGTTGCCTATCGACCGACTGCCCCAGTTCTGTGAGCTCTCGGACTCCGCGGACTCTACTAGCTCCAGCATCTCAGCTAGAAGTAACACGAGCTTTGAATCGGCTTCGACGGGATCGAGTTCTCCGGAGCACAAGAGACGCCGAGTAAACGATATGGATGAAGCTCCCACTAAGAGGTAAATGGGTAGCCTCCCTTACGCCCCATTACAGTCTATAAAATAATAAAAACGGTATTTTCCGACATGTTTCCAGACAACGGATTTCGGCCTCTATTGACCAACTTACTTCCACTTTTACGTTGACCAGTAAGGAGGGCAAAACAGAAGCACTGAACCAGGAGGGCAGGATTGATACCATTTCGGGTTCCAAGATCAAAAATTATAAAAAATCAGATACCGACACGGAGGATTCATCCGACGACGATGACATCGGCACAATTTCCAAGCCGTTACAGCCCCAGGTCGGGGAAGAAGTGGGGTGTGTTAAGCCGATCGATAGCCCTCCGTACGCCCTAGTGATGCCAGAGAACATAGAGTACGCCCTAGTCATTAGCAACGAGGATCCAAAAGCCGAGAGTGTGGATATTAAGGCGCTTTTGCAGCACTTCTTTTCGCTGTTTGAGAACTATGCCGGAGATCACCTTAAGTTCAGTGAGAGAACCACCATGACAAAATTCAGTTCCAATCTACTCATTGGTTGCGAGGACCATAAAACCGCTGACTGGGTCACCAGTGCTGTAGCTGGCGTTTCTCCCCTGCATTCGTGTCTGCCTTTCCCAAAGTTTTTTGGGCTAGTTCGGTGCTCCTTTGTCCTGCCCTTTATGGTAGCCAATAAGCCAATGCGGTCAATTTTCGATCTCCTGGAAAAGCAGAACTGCGGACTCGTCACAGACAAATGGAGCATGGTTGGACGGAGTATCCTTGATCCGGCCAGCAATGATTTTGAGCAAAAGGCAGTATCATCATTGTGCGAAAACGAGGAAATTGATATGTACATCGACGAAGAGAGCCGAACACTGATCCTTGAGCAGTGCTCAAAGCTTAAGTACTGTTTTTGGAGGCTTCATTTTGAGTTTGACTGCAAGCTCTGAGCTAAACCTATTTCAGCTATATCTTTACAGTTGTTAAATTTTAAATCGTTTATTCATTATGTTATTTATTTGTATTTTACGGTACGAAGAAGTATTATACTTTATGAACAAGAGTATGAAAATATCAGTTAGCAATGTATATAAACTAATTTAATATTTAAACGGGCTTAAAAAATGGAATACAGAAAAAAAAAACAAAGAAGTAAATATAAAAGTTTATTTGCTTCAAAAGGGGTCTTTTATCATTAATCCCTTTAGTCAGTTTAAAAATTTAAATATGCTATAAAAACTAATTTAAACATATTTTAAAATAACTTTTTTCAAAATGTTTACCTGTTAAGGAATTGCAGAGAATGTTTAAAAAAATTAGTTCCGTTAAATAAAAAGTGTATCGAAATCATATATCCAAATGTGGCAGTGTGCCCGCCGGCCAAGGGCAATCGATAGCTTACAAAGTATTCGATAGTCTGCAGTCGCAAGTTGTTTTCACCTGGCCGCCGTGCAAAGAGTGGAGAGGATATATGGAAAGAGGCTGGCAGTCGACAGACGCCATCGGCATGGAACCCATAGACATAGTGCGCCTGGAGGAGGCTGTCGTGGCCTTCTACCGCTCCAACTCACAGGACCAGGCGATCACCCACGAGTGGCTCATAGATGCCGAGACCAGTCCGCAGGCCTGGCAATTTTGCTGGCAGCTGATGCAGCTTGGCAAGGTGAGTACCTCGCAGGACCTGCGCATCAATGCATCAATTAACTCGATATGTATACCCTTCTACCCACGTATGCACCACCACCTGCATTCCTCCTCACCATGCACCACCCTGTGCTCCCCACAACCACCCGATGCATTTCCAATGTTTCGTCTTTGCCGCGCAGAGCCAGGAGGTTCAGTTCTTTGGCGCCATTACCCTGCACTCGAAGCTGATGAAGCACTGGAATGAGGTGCCGCCGGAGAACCGAGAGGAGCTGAAGCAGAAGATCCTCGAGACGATCGTAAGGTTCGCCGGCGGTCCAAAGATCGTCCTAAACCGGCTGTGCATCTCCCTCGGTGCCTATATCGTACATATGCTGGACGAGTGGCCCTGCGCCATCGATGAGGTAATCAACACGTTCCAGAACCAGCAAATCCCAAATATCTGCCCCGATGTGCAGCTGTGGATTATGCTGGAGGTGCTGCAGGCCATTCCAGAGGAGGCTCAGATTATTCACACCTCTGTTCAGCGAGTAACGCTGCGAGCGGAGATCGGTAAGCGGGTTCCGGTTGTCCTTCAGACCGCCGAGGAGTATTTGAAGATGAAGATGAACCGCCAATGGGATGCGGAGACCTACAGCAACATGAACAGGGCCGTTAAGTGCGTCGGCACGTGGATTAAGTAAGCGCTACGTATGTTGTATGACTATATTATTAATTAAATTTTGACCTTCCACAGAAACATTGGGTATTCTATTGAGGGATGCGTAAGCATCACAGCCGTCCTGCTGGAGGTGGTGCACAAGTGCTACTGGCCGTGCATTCGCGCTGGCGATGGCTGCATGTCCGCTGACGAGAACGAGCTGGCCGAGACCTGTCTGAAAACAATGGTCAGCATAATCATTCAGCCGGACTGCCACAACTATCCGAAATCGGCGTTTGTACTAATTAAAATGTTTCTCGACTCGCTCTGCGACATCACAAAAATGGAGTGGAAGCGCGACAACGACAATGAGGACATTATAGTCCACATATACATGTTGTTTGTATCCTCAGTGGAACGGCACTCGTTGCTGCTACTCAGCGGAATCACGTCGAACGATCCAGAGCTCTCCATGCTGGTACACCGTATCGTTCAGGAGATTCTGCACTGCACCGACAAGCCGGGGATCTATCCCGTGGAGGAGTCATGCAGCACCATGGCCCTGGCCTTCTGGTACATGCTGCAGGACGAGGTCTTCGCCATGCCCATCGAAGAGCAGAAGCTCAAGTGCTGGGAGTATATAAAGCCATTGTACGCCCACCTAACTAGCATTTTGGTGCGGAAATCGGAGCAGCCGGATGAGAAATCCCTCGACAAGTGGAACTCTGACGATTTGGAGTGTTTCCGATGCTACAGGCTGGATATATCTGATACATTTGTGAGCTCCTTACTTAATAATTCCAATTATATCGTTCTTCAAATTTAATTTCCCATCTTCCTTTGCTGCCAAAGATGTCCTGCTACGATGTACTGCACGGCTATATTTTGGAAATCCTAGCCGCCATGTTGGACGAGGCTATTGCCGATTTACAAAGACACCCGACGCACTGGACAAAGCTGGAGGCCTGTATCTACTCCTTTCAATCGGTGGCCGATCACTTTGGCGGCGAGGAGTCGCGTCAGATACCGAGGCTCATGCGGGTGCTGGCCGAGATACCGTACGATAAGCTAAACGTTAAGCTACTGGGCACAGCGCTGGAGACAGTTGGCTCTTATTGCAATTGGCTAAAGGAGAACCCCACCTACATCCCATCAGCCATCAATCTGCTAGTGCGCGGCCTGAACTCGTCGATGTCGGCTCAGGCCACATTGGGTCTCAAGGAGCTGTGCAGGGTCTGTCAGCTGCAGATGAAGCCTTATGCCGAGCCACTGCTTAACGCTTGCCACGCCTCCCTAAACACGGGACGTATGAAGAACTCAGATTCGGTGCGGCTAATGTTCAGCATCGGAAAGCTGATGAGCGTGCTGCCGCCCGAGGACATACCTAGGTACTTGGACGTAATTGTCAGTCCGTGGTTTGAGGAGCTGCAGGCCATTTGCCAAGAGGAGACGGTGAGTCCAATCATTATTATTTAGAAATTAAATTATTAGAAATTTTATTATTTTAAACGCTCTTTTATATTTTTATTTTGAAAGTCAATATAATTTTTTTTTTGTGAATGTGCAAATAATCGTTTTAAAATCTAACGCACACTTAACATATTTACCTCCCGCTACCTTCCCACAGTTTTTTTTTTAATTCAATAAAGGAAAAACATGTCCGGAAATAAAATCTTTTTTGCTTGAAGTGAACTCTTTGGATTGATCGATAAAATTTATCCTATTAATTATTTGCAGAAAACTCCTTCGGCTCGGATTCGCACCATATTCCGGTTAAATATGATATCGACTCTATTCTCATCCGTTAACACGGATATGGATGATGAGCCGCCGATTGTCCAGCCCGTTCTGCTGGTCATGCAGCGAACAATGCCAATCTTCAGGAGAATAGCGGAGATGTGGGTGGAGGAGATTGATGTCCTAGAGGCTGCCTGCAGCGCCATGAAGCATGCGATTATGAATTTAGGGAGCAGCTTTCAACCGATGTTGCAGGACCTTTGTGTTTTTATTGTGGCCAGTTTCCAGACCCGATGCTGTGCACCCACACTTCAGATTTCAAAGACGGTAAGACTTCACGGTATGCTTTTTTCCAAAATAAAAGTTACTTATTGCATGTCTTAGGCCATCGTCATGTTCTTCAAGGAAGAGGGCTGCAAGCAGTTAATGCAACAGCTATTAAGAGAGTTCATTCAGCACAGCTTCAAGCATTTTGAAAACACTCCGGAGCAGAACTTCTCAAACATTTCTGACACTATGGAGACCTTTTTTGGCTGTCTGTCTCAGATCGTAAAGAAGATTCCGCAGGCCTTGGAGGACAAGACGCTGGCCTACGATCGGCTTATCTTTTACGCTCAGCGGGGCATGACGCTGCCGGAGAGTGGTGCCATTCGTAACAGCATCCAGTTTCTCACGCACTTTGTGATGCAATCGCGCAATCATGCCCATATCACCGAGGTCGTGCTGGCCACGGGTGAACAGACTCTCTACACGGCCATGATGTGTGTGGGGTATCTGACGCCACGATCGCAAGTTGACAAGTTTGCCGACATCCTGTTGGCCATGAACAAGATGTATCCTGCAGAAATGGCTGTCTGGATGAAGTCCCTGATGGCGACACCTAATTTCCCCACCCAGCTTATTACGGATTCGGAGAAGGCGCGTTACACAGCTCTAATAGTCAAGTGAGTGTGAAGTAGAAATTGCAGATAACATCGATATGTCTATCCTCTATCTGACGATACATAACTCGTTATTTTGATGTTGCGACAAATCGATATTATCATTGATATATTTTTATATAGTAAGGAGAGTCTTGGTTTTAAAGAATTAAAACCAACTATTACCTTTTTTTTGACTCCGAAAGGGAAAAGGTCAACAAGCGACTTCTGCAGCAGCATCTATCAGAGATGGCTATTAAGACGCGAGGACTTGCCGAGAAGTTTCAGTGAATTAAGTAGCACAATAAGTGGCCAACTCGTCCATCCGGGTTCTGGTATAGTTTCTCCAACTGTATTTAGTTGTGTATTTATTATTTCCACTATTAATGTATATTTGTATATTCACCGTTTCCTGTATGAAAAAATTAGCCTTTTTACGAATTACTTTCTCGCCTTTTTCTTATCCTTTTCATTTTATCAGTGTTGTTTTTCTGCAACTTCCCCTCGTCATTGTGTATGTACCTATAATGCCAAAAATATGTAAATACATCTCTTTATATAATATATATATATATATATATATATATATATATATATATTTGTGTCTATAACTAAAACTGAAGCCTTTCGTTTTCTTTGCGTGGAAGGTCGATATTTAATTAATAATAGAGTCATACAAGTCATTGTTTATTTGAATTTGAATCGGAAGGTTTAGAAAAACAGTGTTGTAAAATCGGGAAAAAAAGTGATAAGAATAACGTTGGGGCAAGTTAAAATGTTTGATACATCAAGTATGCCTTGCTTTAAATTTGAAAAAAATAGGTGACATTCGTAAGTTGCGACGTACAAAAATTCATTCTTCAGTCAGTTGTGCTCGGAATAACATCTAAATTTTCTTAAAAAGTTTTACTTACAAAAAAAAAAAAAAAAAATCGGAAATCTGTAAAAAAATTTTTTTAATGTGTGTTTTCTCTTGGCAAATAGCCTGGAGCTCGGGCAGACAAATATGTACAAAAAATCTAGGTATATATATATATAATGCTCGGCCACCGAGTGGAAGGAGTAAATGCATGCCTCCAATTTTTCCAGCGCGTCGGATCTCTATAATAAACTGCTATATAACTGCTCCACCGTGGCGGCCTGGATTGAATATCGTGCAGTACATTGGAGCAGAGGAAAATTCAATTTGGAGAACGACATGAATAGAATTATTGAGTAATGAGCTCACAAATGTGTCAGATATGTCTTGCCTGTCAAGTTTGGAAACACTCCAAATTGTCAGAATTCCACTTGTCAAAGGACTTGTCATTCCGATACTCAGATTACCGCATCAAAATGCTGGTTAGGCGGCATACAATGACTTACTGTACTCCAAGCAGTTGAGCGTCTGCTCTTCGAGAGATCCTGGATCATTGGACGTGATTCCCCTGAGTAGCAGCGACGAGTACCATACCACGGCAGACACGAACATCGTGTATAAGTGCATGACATTGTCCTTATTGCTGTCGTCTCGCTTCAACTCGTTTTTTTCTTTATGTCAGAGAGCGAGTCGAGGAACATTTTAAATAGTACAATCGCCGTCTTCGGGCAGTTGTGAGAGTCTGGCTGAATGATTATACTGATCATTGTCTTCGAAGAAGACCTGACCAGTTCGTTCTCGTTAGTTTGCATGCAGCTATCACCAGCGCGAATGCAAAGCCCATACTTCTTAAGGCTGTGTTCAAGTAGCTGTAGGTCTCCGCATCCCATTGGCGGTTCATCTTCATCTTAAAATACTCCTGCGGTCTGGAGGATGATTGGAACCCACTTACCGATCTCTGCGCGCAGCTTAACTCGCCTTGCACAGGTGTGGATAATCTCAGCCTAATTCGGAATGGCATGCAGAACTCCCAGCATAATCATCTGGACATCGGTGCTGATATTTGCTGCTTCTGGAACGTCATCCTCTATGGCGCAGTGTCACACGTCCAGCATATGGGCTATATAAGCTCCGAGGAAGATGCATAGCCGGTTGACAACAATCTTCAGACCACGGCGAAATGCACGATCGTCTCGAAGATATTCTGCTTAAGCTCTCCTCGGCTCTCCACTGGAAGCTCATCCCAATCCTTTGTTAGCTTGGAATGCAGAGTAATGGCTCTGCGCGGCAAGTGAAAACTGGAAGTTGGCTGTCTGTCGTCTGTTTTACATCGCATCTATGGGAAATTTTTTGGCCTGAGAGCATTTATTAGAAAGCAGATCAACAATGTCTTACAGGTAAGAGCGCATAATTTCACTTATCTTTGCTTAATTAACTCTTATCTGTATATTTAGATTTATTTATGAAACGGAGCATCATAACGGCATAGCCGAGTTATTGGAAATCCTGGGCAGCATTATTAATGGCTCTGCTCTACCGCTCAAAGAGGATCATAAACAATTTTTACTTAAGGTATTGTTGCCATTGCACAAAGCCAAGAGCCTCTCGGTCTACCATCCGCAACTCACCTACTGCGTTGTGCAGTTCCTTGAGAAGGATCCCAGTTTATCGGAGGCGATAATCAAGTGAGTAAATTGTGATTTAAGCCCCATTTCTTTGAATATATGAGTATGCATTTTTTTATTTGTAGAAGCCTGCTTAAATTTTTGGCCGAAGACGCGCAGTCCCAAGGAGGTAACTCAAAGACGCAATGGAACAAGACTATTCAAGGCTTGCCCTATAATGCTCTCAAGCTGTTTATGGAGATGGATCAGCGACTTTTCGACGAGTGCACCAAGAACTACAAACAGGAGAAGCTGATGTAAGTAAAAGCGGTCAAAGAAAGCTAACTAAAATAGGGCATAAGGATCCTTTACACCTTCTTGAATAATGGTTTAATAGTTAGCAACTTTCATACTTCACACTAGCTCCAATACTCTGCAATCGAAGCTCACGAAGGATTGGGGTGAGGTTCCAGTAAAGAACCGACAGGAACTTAAGCAGAAGATCCTCGAGACGGCCGTGCAGTTCGCCGGGGTCTACATATCGTCCTTAACAGGCTGTGCATCTCCCTCGGTGCATTTCTAGTCCATATGCTGGACGAACAGCACGGCGCAATTGATGAGGTTCCAGCACCAGCTAATCCCAAATATCAGCTCCGATGTGCAGCTATTAATTATGCTGGAGGTGCTGCAAGTCATTCCGGAGAAGGCCCCAATTATTCACACCTGTGCTAAGCGATTTAAGCTACGAGCGGAGATCGGTAAGCGGGTTCCGATCGTCCTTCAGACCGCGAGTATTTGAAGATGAAGATGAAGCGCCAGTGGGATGCATTGATCTACAGCAACATGAACAGGGCCTTAAGAAGTAAGGGCTATGCATTTGCGCTGGCGATGGCTGCATGCCCACTGACGAGAACGGGCTGGCAAAGTTTTTGAAGACAATGGTCAGCATTATCATTCAGCCTGACTGATACTTGCCCATAAACGGCGTTTGTACTAATTAAAATGTTCCACGACTCAATATTCGACATCATAAAAATGGAGTAGAACCGCGACAACAACAACGAGGACATTGTCATGCATAAACACGATGGTCGTGTCTGCCGTGGTACGGCACTCGTCAACGTCCAACGATCCAGGAGCTCTGAGGTTTTAAAGCGTATCGTTCAGAACATTCTGGACTGCACCCATCGAAGAGCAGACGATTGGAGGACATTAAGCCATTCTATGCGCACCTGACGAGTATTTTGGTGCGGAAATCTGGCATCCGGATGAGAAGTCCCTCTACAAGTGGAACACTGACAATCTGGAGTGTTCCCAAACCTACAGGCAGGACATATCTAATACATTTGTGGACAGGGCTATTGCCGACGCTCAGGACAAAGCTTGAGGCCTGTATCTACTCTTTTCAATCGGTGGCCGATTATTGCAATTGGCTGATGGAGAACCCCACCTACATCCCATTAGCCGTCAATCTGCTAGTGAGCGACCTGTACTCGTCGATGTCGGCTCAGGCCACATTGGGTCTCAAGGAGCTGTGCAGGGACTGCTAGCTGCAGATGAAGCCGTATGCCAAACCACTTGCCACGCCTGCCTAAACACGGGGCGTATGAAGAACTCAGATTCGGTGCGGCTAATGTTCAGCATCGGAAAGCTGATGAGCGTGCTGCCGCCCGAGGATATACCTAGGTACTTGGACATAATTGTTAGTCCGTGTTTTGAGGAGCTGAAGGCTATTTGCCAAGAGGAAACGGTAAGTTCATTCAATATTTGTTTGGGTTTTTGTTTTAAGATAATTCAATTGATCGATTAGACTTAACCTATTGTTTAATTTGTGCAGAAAACACTTTCGGCTCGGACTCGCACCATTTCCGGCTTAATATGATCTCGACCCTGTTCTCTTCCCTAAACACGGATGTGGATGATGATCAGACCAAGGAACAGCCGCTTGTCCAGCCCGTTCTGTTGGTCATGCAGCTAACAATGCCAATCCTCAGGAGAAAAGCGGAGATGTGGGTTGACGACATGGATGTCCTAAAGGCAGCCAGCAGCACCAAGACCTTTGTCTTTTCATTATGGTTAGCTTCCAGTCTCGATGCCTTGAGATTTTAAAGACGGTAAGACTTCACGGTAGTTGTTTTTTCTATAATAAAAAAAATCCAAATTGCTTGTCTTAGGGTATCGTCATGTTCTACAAGGATGAGGGCTGCAATCCGTTAATGCAAAAGCTGTTGAGGTTGTTCATGCAGGACAGCCTCAAGCTTTTTGAGAACACTCTGGAGCAGAACTTCTCAAACATTTCTGACACTATGGAAACCTTTTTTGGCTGTCTGTCTCAGATCGTAAAGAAGATTCCGCAGGCCTTGGAGGACAAGACGCTGGCCTACGATCGGCTTATCTTTTATGCTCTGCGGGCCATGCTGCTGCTGGAGAGTGGTGACATCCGCAACAGCATCACTTTTCTCAAGCACTTTGTGATGCAATCGTGCAGTTATGCCCATATTGAGGTCGTCCTGACCACGGGGAACAAACCCTCTATACGGCTGTGTGGGGTATCTAACGCCACGATCGCAGGTGGACAAGTTTTCCGACATACTTTTGGCAATAAACAAATATTCGACAGATATGTCTGTCTCGATGAAGTTCCTGATGGCGACACCTAAAGCGCGTTACACAGCTGTGACAGTAAGGTTAGTATGACCCTGTATTAATATTTTAACGTTAAATGCGATATTTTAGATATTTAAAATTCCGATATTCAAAATTTAATGTCATATCCAACTTATCCTAGTGAGGAGAGCCAGAATCAGCACAGCCCAATGAGCCCTGATGCACCGCCGTGGATTATGCTTGAGGTGCTGCAGCCCATTCTGGAAGAGGATCAGTGTTCATCAGGGACTTCATCCAGACAGCCATATGTGTCGAATATTTTGTTAATGGCCAAATGGATGTTGGCAAAGTTCTCCACTTCCGACCGTGTCGCTAGATACCCCACATACATTATGGCCGTGTACGGGGTCTGTTCACCGGTGGCCAGGACGACCTCAATGATGTGTGCAGAGTTGCGTAAATGCATCACAAATTGTTCAAGAAATTTGATGCTGCTACGGATGGCACCACTCTCCAGTAGCGACATGCCCTGTAAAGCGTAGAAGATGAGCCGATCGCATGACAGCATCTTGTCCTGAATCTTCTTCCAAGTGCTCTCAAAAAACTTGAGGCTGTCCTGGATGGACAACCTTAATGGATTGCAGTCCCCAACCTTGTAGAGCATGACGTTGACCGTCTTTAAAATCTCAAGCAGCATCGTGCCTGGAAACTGGCCATAATGAAAAGGCAAAGGTCCTGCAACATCGGTTAAAAGCTGCTCCTTAAATTCATAACTGCATGGTTCACGGCACTGCAGGCAGCCTCTAGGACATCAATGTCATCAATCCAAATCTCCTCTCTTCTTCATTGTTGGCATTGTTGGTTGAATGACCAGCAGAACGGGCTGGTTAATCGGCTGTTCCTTGGTCCGATCATCATTCATATCTGTGTTAAGAGATTAGAACAGGGCGTGATCATTTTAAGCCGGAATATGGTGCGAATACTGCCAATATATTTAAGATATTATATTCTTAATAAAGTCATTGGATAATTCGATGTACAATACATCCATTAATCTTGCTTTCATGGGTTTTCAGTTCCAAGGCACAGTTTCGCAAAGTCATTTATTTAACCAAGTATGTGGAAAGAGTACTTGGTCCAAAGTAGAAATAGAAATATTAGAAAGTCTACCGATGGCAGTTGTTAGAAAAGGGCCTCAAGGGGTAACGCAGATGCTGCAGGATTGGACTTCATGGGAAAAAGGTCTACAAGAGCAGCAGTATCTTTCCGAGATGGTCTTCAAGACGCGAGGACTCGCCAAGAAGTTCCTTGCGAGTTAAGTAGCACGACAGCATACATCTGGGTTCTGCTGTTTCTCCAAATATATTTAAATAGGTTTCATTATTTCCCTCCGTCTTTTATCTGTGTGTAGTTGAATAAAGTCACTTAACTCTCGACATGATAAACTTTTATTTATAATTTTACAAAATTACATGCTTCATTTACAATTTGCACATATATATTTTTTTTAAGGGTGTATAACTCATTTTGTATTTATTGTTTCCACTTTTAATATATATTTTATAGTTCTTACAATGAAAAGTACTGATTTTCACCGTTTCCTGTATGAAAAAATCTGACTTTCTACGAATTACTTTCTCGCCCCTTTTTCTTTTACTTCCCATATTATTATTGTGGTTTTTCTGCAACTTCCCCGCGTCATTGTGTGTATGTACCTATAATGCCAAAAATATGTAAATACATCTCTTTATATAATATATATATATATCTTTGTGTCTATAACTAAAACTCTGAAGCCTTTCGTTTTCTTAGCGTGCACTACAGCACTTGGTAGTGGTAGCAAAAACTTTCGCCTAGAATATAGATTATAGTTTTCTGCATTTTTTCTTGTCTAACGGACCCGAGATAATGACTATAGAACCACCAAGCGAGTGGCGAATACAGATCCAATATTAAATATACATTCATATACACACATAGCATATATATGGATTAACATGTAGAAATAGAAGTACCTAGGACCAGCAAAGTTAAAGTCTGTTGTGAATGATTCGGGGATTGAGGGAAGCTTACAAATAGATATATTCTCGGGCTGCGTGGTCGTATTGGCACTATCCTTTCGGCGCATCGGGTGAACTTGTCTGGCATCACACTTAAAAACTCCTAGTTCCTTTTGGGGTCGATCTATAGGAATACCGACCCTTGTTGTTCCAAACATATTTATATATTTTTATACATACATATAATATGTAATACATACAAAAATACACTTGTACATACAAACATACTTACATACCAAATTTGATCTGTTTCTATCCTGGGCAATTTGTAGTTATATCAATATTTATATGTAGGCAAGCTGTTGCTAATACCTAAGCTAAATCGCATATATAATAATGTGTATTTAAGCTGCAGAGTATTGTTAAACATATGTATGTATAGTATATATGGTGTGTAGGTAGTGTCATATATGTAGCTATGTCGAAGTATGTGCCAGAAGTCGGGGGGTATCGAGAGGAGGTAAGCTCCTACTTAGGCCTTAGGTTAGATATTTCAAATTCAACTGTACAATTCTATGTTCACGTTTTCACTGAAATGAGAGGATAGCATAGATTATTAATCAATCAGTTCGATAAATTTGTGGCCTTAAGGACATGCAAAGGCAAAACGAGAAGAAGCGTCACTCGTAGACATGCGTTTGGGAAAGTAAACTAAACTCAAAATTTCATTCGCATTCAAATCAAAATAAATTTATATAGTTGATCTCGATTGGGATTTCAGATCTTTATTGGTACTAAGCATGTTGTTCTTTATAGATAAGTATTTCATATGTGTTTATATATAGCAGTTGTGTGGTTCGCTGCCCCCACTAAGCCCCAAAAATGCGATGCAAATGCATTCAAATAATTGATTATTTTCTTTTTGTTCTAATCGTGCTTATCGTATCCTTCATCTTCTTTCTGGTTTTGTATTTCACCTATGGTGTAGAAAGTGTACGTGTTGTTCTGGGTATTTCGTGTGGTTTATCTTTGGGCTTTGATACGCTGATCCGCCGATTTCCACCTAGTAGTTGTTCCCATCTGGCGGCGTTGTGAGGTACTCATCGGTTCGCTTGTGCTCGATGAGCGCCTTCACGGTCCCACTGTCCGAGGGCAGGTCCGACTTCCGGCGCAGTAGCGGCTTGTCCTTGTTCCGCTCACCACGAATCTGTGTGTGGAACGGGAAGGGGGTGGTTGGTTGGCAATAGAAACACAGGACCCGTAAACTAACAATTGCATCTCTGCACACAACGGGACGACGGGTGATGAAATTAGAGTGCTACACATTGGTGTGGGTTGCGTTAAGTTACCGAGTGCTGGTGCAATTGTTCAGGGGGTCGTGTTGCTTAGGGTTAGGTCAATAATGTCCTTGTATGTATGTACATCAGTTACCCCGTCCGTAGTCGTACTTTGTTACACAGTTCCAATTCAGATCAAGTGGGTATATGTGTGGGACAGATGTTTCTAGTGTTGTTCAGTAGTTAAGAATGAGGGCTACATTTTGGTTTATATTGTTAAACTGCCTTTGCAGCATGAATTACATAGTTTGAGGAACACACGCAACGATAGAGTTTTGAAAGACTATACAGAACACGATTGAGAACATTTTTGTTTATCATACTTTTTGCTCATTTGCAATTATGAAATATCTTGATAAAAGTTCATTTAGTTCATGTATTTACATTATATTAATGACATGCAAAAAAAAAATTTTAGTAATGACAATTAAAAAAAACTATAAAACAACAGCCACAGTTTAAACCCCGTTAACTCGAAGAATTCCAATTATGTCTGAAGAAAAATGTTTATCATGAAAGATACAAATGAGCTAAAAGTTTACAAAATAGTATGAACAACAACTAAGTGTATTCGTGAATAGTTATTTAGGTAATTATGGATTTTGCCCGGTTTTAAATATGAGAATGAACCACTGAGCTCAACCAAGAGTGCAGACCATACACATATTAGACACAGATTATGGGATAGAATTGTGTCGTGTTTATGGGTTTATGGATTGCTTGGGTTGGCAGACAGTGCAGTGGTAACCAATAAGAAATAAATTAATAGACAACGTGTTAAAGATATACAAATATGTATTTTTTAAATGACATGAGTGTGATTATTTTAACAGACATTCGTTCGATTAGAATTAGAGTTGAGCCAGAGCGGGACAGCTCACGGCAGGCGCCAGGCAGATCACACGTGGCGGATTAGTAGTTGTTTAGTGTGGTTAGTGTGGCAAGTGCCTGTCTCACCTCTCGGGGCTCCTGCAGAGCCTGCTTCTGGGGCGGCAGCGGAGGCGGCGGCTGACGTGTCTGCTGCTGGTCGCCGCTCTGATCGTAGGCTAGATCGCAATTCTCATTATATTGATCGTAGAGGGCCCGGTCGCTGACCGGCAGGCAGTCGTTGAAGCGGCGCGCTTTCGTCCACTCCGGGTTGGTCTTGGCCAGGCTCTCAACCTGCTGCCAGAGTTCCTCCCGCTGCGACAGCTTCTCGCGCTCCCTGCCATGGAAACATAAGAAACGTAGTCAATTGTTCAAACCATCATTCAAGAAAGTGTAAGCAACCCATCGCCTTATTCTGGTTAGCTTTTACTTACATCTGCTTCTCCTGTTTGTAGTTCTTGCTGCACTCGTCAAAAAGCCGCTGATCCATCTCCATGAACAGCTTTAGCGCATTATAGATCAAGCCATGAATAGTCTTGTTCCAGTGCGTCTTTGAGTTGCGATTGAGCGCTGGGAACATAATGGGTAGTATCACCGCCGAGTTATCTGCTATCAGTGACATGATGTACTCGTTGTTCCAGTAGTACAACGCCCGCTCGGCCACCTGGAAGTGGGGCGAGGAGACGCACTTGGCTATCTGACGGAACAGCGGCACCATCACCTTTTGAAACTCGGCCGGCTCGATGACGTCCAAGAGTTCCTCCAGCTCATTCAAGAACATTACCTCCTTGGGACTGTGCGTCTTCGGCCAAAATTTAAGCAGGCTTCTACAAATAAAAAAATGCATACTCATATATTCAAAGAAATGGGGCTCAAATCACAATTTACTCACTTGATAACCGCCTCCGATAAACTGGGATCCTTCTCAAGGAACTGCACAACGCAGTAGGTGAGTTGCGGATGGTAGACCGAGAGGCTCTTGGCTTTGTGCAATGGCAACAATACCTTAAGTAAAAATTGTTTATGCTCTTCTTTGAGCGGTAGAGCAAAGCCATTGATAATGCTGCCCAGGATTTCCAATAACTCGGCTATGCCGTTATGATGCTCCGTTTCATAAATAAATCTAAATACACAGATAATAGTTAATTAAGCAAAGATGAGTGGAATTATGCGCTCTTACCTGTAAAAGACATTGTTGATCTGCTTTCTAATAAATGCTCTCAGGCCCAAAAATTTTCCATAGATGCGATGTAAAACAGTCTTTAGGAAATCACGTTCACGTGGATCCTCCGAATCGAATAAATCCAAAAGTTGTAATACAAATTGATGGTCGATATAACGTTTAGCCATATTTGGTTGGAAATCTGGTGACTCCAAGAAGCGCAAAAACAGCTCGTAGACAAGTTGCAGATGTGGCCACGACGATTCCAGCGTGGGCTCATCCTCCTCTGGATCGAATTCAGCGCCATTCGGATTGGACGATGGCGGCAGCGTGCGGAATAGGTTGACCGCAAACTTGAAATATACAAATAAATTCAAATGTAAACTTGAGTTTAAAATATATTATAATTATCTGTTTCGATATTTACTTTCGTAAACTTAAGGGTGTTGCATGACTTTACCAAGTTGTGTAAAATTTTAATTTGTAAACCAAACGTTGCAGACTTTCAGCTTACCATACTGATCGCTTCCGGGTAGATAATTTCGGTGATGACCCCATTTTGGTTGGTGAGGAAATCGACCATCTCGTGAAGGGCCGCTCGCTTCACTTCCTTCCATTTGAGGTCGCTCAGCGGCTCGGAGAAGTCGAAGAGGGTGCAGCATTGTCGGATCTTTTGTATGAACAATTCCTCCCTTTCACTGGTTGCCGTTTCTAAGGGTATACACAGAACATAATAATTAGTTTCCGAAATAAGTCGATATACAATCTTTATAAAAAAAATACAACTTAAAAACATAGTCCTTAATTAAACAAAGAAAGAAAGAAACGTACAACTGTAATCTAATCAACAAAAGCAAGCAAGCGAAACTAAACAAAAAAACGGAACCAATGAAGATCAGAAAGGATCAAGAAGTTTTGAAGGCCTCAGGTCCCAAGGGCTACGCAGAGGGCAAAGATCTGGAGCAGCCATTGGCCTGAGACCTTCTTGGATAGCAACCTCGCAGTGCAGGCAGCGCCAGGGCAACCGAAGCGGTGGGTGGCGAGTAGAACAGATTCCGGTCCCGCGCCCGTCCTGGACTGCCCGTCAGCTGTTGCAGCGTCTGGGGCGAGTCCTGGAGACATGGGTGACCCTGGATTATTTCCCCATTCTGGCGGATGCTCAGGCTGGATGTGGTCACAACTAATGTGGTGCTCGGTATCGCCACAACTGCTGGCGACGCGGATGTAACACTGCCATTGCGCTGGCCAATGCCCAAAGAGATGCTAATGCCGCCCACCAGATTCTGGGCCACCGTCGGACGCAGCTCCTCTGCGGGCGCCTCGCTGGTTGGAGGGACGACGGCGGCGGCGGCTGGCGTCGCCACCACGGGCGTGGAGGATGAGGATGATGAGGAGGTGGTGGCTGCCGCTGCCGCTGCTGCCGCCGCCGCAGCACTGTTGCCCACACTCTTGGTGGCATTAAGTATATTCTTTATGGCTGCGGCCGCGCTTACAGGTGACTGGAGGATGATGAGGTAGCGATGAAATGAGAGCAGATTGGTTTTTGGTTTATCAACTTTCAGTTTTCAATTGGATAGGAGATGTGTGTGTGTGTGTGTGTGTAAATATGTAAACCGCGTGTATGGCGGGTGTAATGTGTGTTTTATGGCTGTGTTTGGACTAAACCAAGCTGCAAACCTTGCTAGCGGCGATGGAGCTGCCTGCGTTGTTGGTTGGTGCGGTGGAAGGTGTGGAGGAGGAAGCGGCCGATGCAGAGGAGGCGGCTGCTACAGCAGCCGATGCTGCGGCCGAGGTAGCCGCAGAAAAGTGCTGCGCCAGGGTGGACACCAGGGAGTTTCCGCTGCTCGGTGCGGGGCCGGCACTCGTTGAGCTACCCGAGGCTCCTGCCGATCCTGCTGCTGTCGGTGGGTTCTTCGACATGCCGGCATTCGAAGAGAGCGACAACGAGGAAGTAGAGGACTGTGATCCAAAGGGGGAGGATGCTATCAAAGCCGCTGCCGCCGAATTGGCCCCACCGCCGTATGTGGCTGCCGAGGATGAGGCCGAGGAGTTGGCAGCCGCCGAGGCTAGCGAGGATGAGGCCGCCTGGGACAGTGAGGACAGCGCCGAAGCCGAGGAGTTTGAGCTGGTGGACGAGGACGAGGGCGAGGATGATGTTGTTGCCACTCCCGCTGCTGCTGCTTCGGGCGGCGAGAGGGGCGTTTTCCGCCCCTCGAACTTTGCCTTGAGCTCCTCCACGCTGCTAAATTTGAATCGGCTGCCGGCCTGCTCCTGCCCCGGCTGCTCCCGATCCTGATCCTGATCCTCCAACTCGTCGTCAGCCAGCTGGTCTAGTCCGCTGTGAAAAGATGGTGACTTGGGTATGCGTATGCCGAGGGCATAATACCCGGCGGCAATGGGTTGCGGATCCTGCTGCTCTTTGTTGGTGCTGGAGGACTTGCTGGCTCCAGGTTTTGTATTTTGTTCCTGCTGCTGCGGCGGCTGCTGCTCCTGATCCTGCTGATGTTGCTGCTGCTGCTGTTTTGGGCCGTTGAGGTTGCCCGTCAGCAACATAGCACCGAAGACCATCTCATTAGTGCCGCACTTGGTTCAAATGGCCCGTAATTTAATGAAAATTGAACCAATAGCCCGTTTCAGCCGCCCCCGCCGACCGACCAACAACAACACATAAAAACCGACTATTCGTACACTAGAAACTCAATTTGGGCATGAAATTATAGAATCTGTAATGGAATTGTAATATAGATAATGGTTTATTAATGCCAAAACGAAATGAGATGCATTGGAAATGTAACTGTAACTACAACTGTAACTGCGACTGTGAATGGAAATGAAAATGATAATGAAAATGACAACGAAACAAACGGCACGCCTCTGGGCAAAAGTTTTCCCTCGCCGAAATGCGGCTCAAATCGATGCTGACCACTTACGTTTTAATTGCCAACGGAGGGGACGAGACGGGGCACGGCAATTAACGAATTTGGGCAAATAATTTCAACAATTAATTCAAGTTTTTGCGGCTCGCGGTGCTGCACGGTCGTGCAAACGGTTCTTTTTTTTTTGCTTCGACTGCTGCGGGCAATCGGAAAAATCGATATATTCAAAAGAATGAGAGAGCGGAGCACAGGAACAGAGAAAGAGAGAGAGAGAGCTCGCGGAGTGGGTGGGTGGGTGATTGGAGCCACTCTCTTGCAGTGGAAGTGAAAGCCCCCGCAGTTATGGCAAACAGACGGAATAAAACAATAATATTAAACATGCGAAATTTGTTTATTTAATAGACGATAACTCCTCCCAGGCAATTAACTAAAAAGGTAAAGTGAATAACAATCCGATGACACTCACATTACGGAAGTGTGAGAGCCGGAATGCAAAAGCTTCCAAGACAGCGCATGTGTTGAAATGTCGAAAGAGGAAGGAAAAATAGAGAGTGAGAGATGTAAGCGATGAGGCTGAGTTTAAGTGTACGGGGTGTGGGGGTGTCCCGTACGTCAGTGTTGCCACCCACCTAATCAGACGACACTCCCTTGACCTTTAACGTACGTGATTAAAACAAATAATAAACAAATTGCAACAGCTGAGCGAAAATAGTCAAGCAAAAGCCTTCAAAGCTCGGCTCTCCGGCAAGGTTCTCTATATGCATGCAGATCGGAATGCAGTAGGCCCAAATATAACAACGGAAAGTTACAGAGTTCTGCTAATTGATATTTGATATATTTATTTACATAAATATGTATGGGAATACGATATAGATATTGTTTCCGATTATTCAACTGCAAAGCGTATTTGCTCACATAATCGTATTTGAAGGATTCGTTGATCTGATCTGATTACAATTTATGATATTTAATATCCCAAAGTCTTATGGGTTGTCTGTATATACAAATAACGTTTACATGTTTTTGATGATTTAGAAACTCCATTTACGCTTTTGAATCTAAAGACACAAAAACTACCTTTCCTAGAAGGTGGGCTACTTGATTTGATCCATCCCCTAAACCGATCTGCATGCCTATGAGACTAAACAACTAAATTTAAAATCAAATTTCATTTGGGATGCACTTACTCTCGTTCAGCGGACTGAGGGCCGTTAATTCGCAGTTTTTGGACGCATTGTAGCGGGCGCTGCTCTGGCGCTTTTCCTTGCGGACGATGGGCGTGCCGGTAAGGTTTAGGCCCTTGGTGATAGGCGTGGGCGGCGGTGCATCCCTCGGAGGTGTGCTGTCCTTGTCTTTGTTAGCCTGCAATTAAATAAAGATTTAGAAGATTCTTGTAGTTTTCTTTTTCGTGTTGTTTAAAAGTTAGAAAACGTAAAAACGATTGTAACAAAGGCAAAGCAATATGTACGAAAGCTAACTCGAACGGAGCACTTGCAAAATCGGTTCAGAGAGGGTCCTGTGGGTGTGGTGATTCTTTGCCGCCTTAAAGATCGATCGCCTTTACCTTGGTCTGCGCGAATCCTTGACGCCTCAGACGAGCTGCCTGTGGGTTTAGTCTGAGTTTAATTTAAGTAATGCCAAAGATTGAGTTGTGCACTGGATCAGGGACGTGTAGGCTTGGGTAGGCATTCAATCGGCATCGGAACCAGGGCTAAGTTATGTTATTAATTAGGGTTGTTTAAGCACTACCCAAGCGGCATTCTCATTTGTATTGCATTTATATAGTCTCTGATTGTGAGAGGCTTCTAGCGGGAATTAATACGAGTTTTTTTAAAGTTGTAAATAGTGGATTTTGGATCAGAATTTAATGCAGGATATATTAGACACTAGTTTAAGAAGCCACTTTAGAACCCACATTTTTATACTCATAGGTATGATGTACGATGTATCGATTTGTAACTTCCCCAATGCTTCTTATATTTATTTTACTTTAATTTGTTTTGAAATCAGTTTTTGATCTCAGCCTTACATTTGCAGTTTAATCATTTTAATTTTGTCCCATGAGGAGACAGACCTAATTATCTTATTAAAAAAATATGTATGTTATGACTGCAAGGAGTGCCGAAATCAATTATAATTAAGTAAGTTATTATTTATGATTAAATTCCACAAACATTAAGTGAGAAATCAATAATTACATGTACAATGAAACTATATACATACATCAAGCTTGTACATTTTAAAGAAAATTGATTTATCGGCTGTTATCAATTCCATTTCGATTACATGAACCTAAATTTGATTTGATTGATATCAACACACAAGTACAAGTTCTGGTTGGATTGTTGAGTGCCTTAATGAGATATCTGATTTGATTTGTTATCCAAACGACACAACATTCACAATCGTCAACATTTGGTAATCTAATTGGTGTTGGTCATCTAAGTGGTACGGTGCGCAGGGCGAGTGAAAGGGAGGCAACGACAGGTAACACACATCATTTGCAGCGATAAGATTAGATAAAGTTAAGTTTTTCGATTTGCAGTCCTAGGAAGTGTTGTGCGCCAAACACATCCATATAACACACACTAATGTACACGTGCGAGTAAGCATTACTCTCTACTTTACGTTAAATAACGGTAGGCATGCGTAGGGCGACGACAGGTGGAAGAAGGAGAGCGTGTGGCAAGGGGAGTGGGTGAGGTATAAAATAGTAGAAGACGGGGGCACACAACTCACCTCACTGCTGATTGGAACACCGCCGCTGGTCACCACTATAGGTATGGCCGCCGTGGTTGTTGCTGCTGATGCTGGCGCTGTTGTTGGTGTTGTTGTACTTAAGTTACTGTTACTCTCTTTGATACCGTTAGTGGCCGTTGTTGGTATGACTATGCTGCCGCTAGTGTTGCTACTGCTATTGGTATTGGTGTTGTTGTTTGCGGCTGTTTCGTTTCTGGAATCTGCCGCTGACGCTGTTGTTGTTGATGTTATTGTTGGTGATGATACTGTGGATGCTGCTGCTGTTGTTGTTGTTTCTGCTGCTGCTGGCGCCGCTGTTGTTGGTTCTAACGCCTCGTTATCCATAATACGCAGTCGTCAGAGTTCGTTCTCCGGCTTTTTGGCTCTTTCAACAAAAAAAAAACGTAAACAACCAACAAACAAACAAACAAATACAACAGCCGGCTGTACTGCTCAATTGATTGCTATCTGAAACTTATATATTTGCACTGTGGAGTGTCGAAAGAAAGAAATTAACTTAGCAATAACTAAAAAAAATAACAACAATATCATGCTATAAAATCCGAAAACACACAGACTCACACTCAAATACATTCATACACCTGCGGTTAGAAATAGGTACTTATCAACATTTAAAAATAGTGCGTTTTTGTACATATACATTTTTTTTAATATTAAAAAACATACTGACCCTATAAACAAATACATATTTTTAAATACATATGGCAATTATCAACATAAAATTTTGCTAATTCCAAATAGGAAATTCTTATTGATTGTTTCTGCAATGCTATTCTATTAATTTGACCGCTACTGTGTAAACAGTGCTAATGGGAAACGGAGAAACCTTTCAGAATCTCTCTCGGCGAACGCTTTCCAATCGGAATTGCCTTAATGGCGGAAAACCGCTTCAAATCAGAGATCCAAAGTTGTCACAAGAAGTCCCCAGATCACAAGAACCATAGTTTTCTTCTAGCATAGCAAATCCGGTTCTAAACGGTGCCAAACACGTTCATGCAGCGACTAATGCTGTAACTTCCCAGTTGGACATGTGTGGGCTCTCGGGCTTGGAATTTTGTATCGGATTATTGGATTATTAAGTATCGGTGCACATATAAACAAAAGACAGACATTTTGGATTTTCGCACAACTTACACTCAAGGGAAATAAATAACAAAAATGTCAAAACACTCGCGAGGGACAGAGAGAGAGAGGCAAGCATGACAAAGAGAGCGAGCGATGCGAGGGACGAGCAACAAGTTGCGAAGCAATGGCCGTCGTCCAATTGCCAGGGTTGCCATATCATGCCGAGGCAAATGGGAAGAGAAGAGCACTTTTGGGTGGTGTTGGTTTTTTTTTTGTCGGAGGTGCGAGGAGTTGCTGGGTCAGGAGGGGCCGGAAGGGGGTTTTCTACACAAACATTACTCAAAAAGTGAGTTAATTCTACCACATTGAGGCAGCGAAACAGGGACTGAGAGATGATGGCTTATAAATAAAATGTGTACTAGGCACAATTAATAGTTGCACTTGCACCCAAGACCCCAAACACACAATTAATATACATGTACATATACGGTGGGGAGACGAATATAACTTTGAATGTCAAGGGGCGAGGTTGGTTGGGTTTTGGATTTCGGGGTATTTGGAGTTTCCTTTACCGCCACAAGTTGCAAGAACTTGTTCAATTTTCCCCTGCTGCGATTTAGGTTCGCCAACATCAAATTCACTGCTGATAAAAGCTGTTCTTTACGTAAAATGCGAGTTCTAACAAAAACGCACGCACACACTCACTCGCACTTGGGCACTCGCACACACACGCACACCGCGAGGCTATGTATTATTTGCGCTGCAATTTCTTCGATCTCTGCGATTTTCGCGTGCGAATTTCACAAGGTTCGCCCGCGAATCTCACACTTTGCAGCTCGACGGACTGTAAGCTGGACACCGGGGTCAAGTTCACCTTTTGCTCGAGAACGCACAGCATCAACGGCTTGTGCAATTGTAAATAATAATTTATGTAAACTGTTTTATTCACGCAACGTTGACGGGCCTGCTCAATAGAAAATAGAGTTGCCAGGGCTGCATGCTGCCGGCAGGCTTGCCGGACTGCCCTTTTCATCCAATAGTTGCGATAGTGGTAAATAGTAACTAAAATTATATTAGGGCCACCTAAATTAAAAATAATTTATAAAGCACATACTAATTTGATCTTTCAAACATATTAAGAATCGTAGGTGGGTAACAAAAAATTACCCAATAACTAAATAAAATAACTAATGCATTAATATCAAATACCCTGGTGGTGGCGTAAAAAATTTAATAATTCTTCTTTATCTTTATACAAAGTTTTTCACTTACAACATTACATTAAATTATTTCGTATTAGGCGTTTAAAATTAGAGAAAAATCTACTTTTTTTTATTAGTTAAAAAAAAAAATAAAATAAAATAATAATATATATTCATATATATATAAATATTATTATATTAATCAACATATTATAAATTTGGATGCTTATTTTACTTGGTTTTATGTTTATTTTATTTCAAAATTGTGTAAAATGTGATTAATCTCCCAAAAATACCGATGTTTCAAAAATTTAAAGAAATCTGTGCATAGAAGTTTCCCTGCCTTTATTGGCGTGACAGAAAAACATTTTTTTTGACTACAATTCATTTATGTATATAAGTAAATATTTATATTATTAAAAGGTTTTAATTTTTGGCTTACAATTAAGTATAAAACAAATAGTCTATTAATTAGTATGACTTATATTTAAATACGTAGTTAATTTATGTGTAGTGATAAAACAGAGGGGCAATGGCGAGTTCCAATACTGTGGCAACTCGACAAATTCAGACAACGTGGCAACGCCGAAACGACATTGTTTATATTGGTTGCGGGCCGAATTTCCCTAATTTTATTGAATATATTGCTTTTGCTATGCAGATTACAATCAAAGTGCTAAAGGGCACGGACTGCACGCTCGAAGTAATATTTTAGTTTTCGTCGTCGTGTTTTTAACACATTTTTAATTCATGAACTTTGCACGCAGGTCTCGCCGACATCCACGATTTTGGAGGTAAAACAACAGATCGAAACGGAACTCCAAATCTCGGCTGCGAATCAAAAGCTCCTGCTCCTCGGGCGACCGTTGAACAACGAGCAGACAATTGCCTCTTATCCCAACATCAAGGAGGGCACCAAACTCAACCTGGTGGTGATGAAACCCTGCCTGCGCGACAGTATTCAGCGGGGATTCCGCAAACACTATCCGGAACAGCAGGCGGAGCGGCTGACCAATGAGTTTATGACCGATTTCGAGAAAAAACTGAACGAACAGAGCTTAGACGACCTGGAGAGATTCGCTGATAGCATAGTTAGCAGAGCGACAACATAGCCTGCACGACACCCCTATTGATCCATCAAACCCCACTCCCTCCGACGAATGCCTATCCTCCTCCGCTAAGCAAATTGTTTTTATTTCCCCAAAGGTAGTAAAAATTAAGACTTGACTGAAAGAAAACCCCCTGTGTTTTTATCGGCCATCTGGCAACACTGCGGCCTGATGCAGCGGCCATTTCTTGCCGTGTGTGTGTGAGTGTGGGAAGAAGAAGGTAAAGGAGAAGAGAGGAGAATGCGAGTGCTGTGCAAATTTCTTGGCCGAGTTGTTAACTCCGCGCAAATCAAGTCGGTGCGATCTCTGTCCAGAACAGTACCAGCCATGGTCAAAGTAAGTGGATAACATAAAATTTACGTCAGATTTTGGGAATCCAACAGCCGGGGCCCATTACATAAGGCCGGTGGGGCTACGGTGCATAAATATTGATTGCGCCGGAAGAGAAAACTGCACCCGAGTGCAATTCAAGGTTACATCCGTAGCTACATATGTTTATATGTGTGCGTGTGCCTTTTAATTTTAGTTAGCTGAAGAATATTGTCTAACATTTGCCACTGGTGAACACAAGACGACTCACTGACCAAAGATCACAACGGAATGGTATAAGCGATGAGGAATTCTAACTTTCCACATTTTTATTTTTTCCAGTCAAAGGTCAAATGTGTGATTTTCGAAATTGTAAATGTAGTTGTGGTCTTACCTCACTTTTGTTCTCTCCAGACTCAAGATAACCAAAGTTATGACTATAAGCCATACACAAATTTATTTTCATGATAATAATCACCAAAAACATTCGCCTAATTCTAGGTAGGCGATTCCCTGCCAGCGGTGGACCTCTTCGAGGATTCCCCTGCTAACAAGATCAACACCGGCGATCTGGTCAATGGCAAAAAAGTAATCATATTCGGTGTGCCCGGCGCTTTTACTCCCGGCTGCTCCAAGGTATGTTCGTTTTCTTTAAGATCAATCTCAGGAACACAATTATATCAATATCGTAATTCACAGACCCACTTGCCCGGCTACGTCAGCTCCGCCGATGAGCTGAAGTCTAAGCAGGGCGTAGACGAAATTGTCTGCGTTTCCGTGAACGATCCGTTTGTGATGTCCGCCTGGGGCAAGGAGCACGGTGCCGCTGGAAAGGTGCGTCTCCTCGCCGATCCGGCCGGTGGATTTACAAAGGCCCTGGATGTGACCATTGATCTTCCCCTCTTGGAGGCGTGCGCTCCAAGCGCTACTCCCTGGTGGTGGAGAACGGCAAGGTAACCGAGTTGAACGTGGAACCTGATGGCACCGGACTTAGCTGCTCGCTGGCCAACAATATTGGCAAGAAGTAAATGGATTCCAGAGTCTCCCAAATATGTTAGAGAAACTCGTACACTAATAGGCCGCAATGATATCAATTACATCTTGAAAAGAACTATATGTAGCACGTACAATATATGCGATTAGTGGTGTTATATCTAGGTGTTTGCTTTAATATCTACTTTGGGACTTAGTCTTTAATCTTATTATTAGATCTAGCGGTTGTCGGTATTGGGAGCGATCTTCTGAGACAGCAGTTTGCCGTAACCACCTCGACCGGCATCGTAATCCGTACGATATTCGTCGCGCACCTGACCGCCAGTTTTGCCACGTCCATATTGCCGGCCCTCTATAAATCCTGCGTCCCAATCGACACGAATCAGTCTGTCATCCAAGCGGGTGCCATTCACAAATCTGAAGATATATAAAAAAACGATTGAAATTAGTAACTAAAAATCTGTTAAGAGGATTTCAAGCTTATGGTATTGAAAACCAATGCTTAAGCAGCCTGAAGTAGCTATGGTTATTGAGAAAAGAGGTTGATGAGAATCTTCCGACCAATCTCTAAAAGCCATGTCTAAGTGAAATTCAAAGAGCCGGGAACAATGTGGTTTTCCAGCTTGAACTATGGTGTCTCACCTCATGGCCGCCTCCGCCTCGGATCTTATGTAGTACTCCACAAAGCAGAAGCCACATGGTGTCTTCTTGTACTTGTCCAGGCCCATGACTATAACTCTGACATCGCCGCAGCGCGAGAATAGCTCGTGGATCTGTTCCTCTGTCGTGTAGAAGCTCAAGTTTCCCACGTACAGCGTACACGACTCGCGGAGTGATCGCTCTTGCTCGGAGCGAGAGCCCTGGAATGGGGTTATAGAATTGATAAATATTCATTTGAGTTTTGTGGCGCATACTCACCTTGAAGTGCTGATCGCGATACGAGCTCAATTCCACGGAAGCGGCCATATTTTAGCAAATAAATTAAAAGAATATATTTTTCTAAGCGTTTATTTAGAGACGGCAGGAGGGCGATAATTTTTTTGGTTTTGGTATTTTCTATCGATTGCTATCCGTCAGATCTGATGCGATATAAATATCGGTTGCTAGAAACAGTGACTATGCGATGGTTGTTATTGGAGAAAATTTACAAATTCGTTTAATAAAAGAAATAAATAATAACAAATATAATAAAATTGTGTTTTGTGCCTGTTGGCTTAAGGTCGACTATATAATTATAAGTTAAATAAAAAATATTTCACAGAAAACGTGAAGTATTAATTTCGAATTAAATGCAGTGTTTGTTTCTTTTTTATTAATATCACTATTAAGTTTAAATAAAGGTAAATTATGCGAAATAGTATTAACAAGCAGCTTTATTTGTCATTTTATTCTCCAGAATTCAATAAACAGCAACGATAGTTTACCGAGACCGATATATACTATTTTTATAATTTGGAATATACCTTCGTGACGCGTTAGCGCATTTACAAGTGCTGTTCCATTCCCCAGACATTTCACGGCTCGTTGTTATTATTATTAATTTTATGGCAATACTTCGTACTTAATGAACACCACAGTAAATTCCGGTGGCAGCAAGCGGCAGCTGCGGTTCCGTGGCGACGTCAACACCAGTAGCCGGGTTGAGGAGCTGCATCATCATCATCACCATAATGATGAGATCAAGCAAAAGCAGCCGCTCACCCAGGATGACGTTGCAGCGACGCCGACAGCGTCGGCAACGGCGGCAGCAGCGCAGCAGCGACTGCAGAACGGTAAACAAGGATTTCCAAATGAATGAATTCATTAATTTAATGTAATTAATTGGTTTCAGGAAACACAGAGACTGGCACCAACACCTTCTTCGATTTCTTCAAGGTGGAAATGACCCGTGGCTATATGCTAGAGCATGATGAGGAACGATATTCGGCTCGTCGGCAGAAGATATATAGCTTCATGCGCATACCGCGCGATCTGGAACGTTTCATGGTCTATGGTATCATGCAATGCGCCGATTCCTTCCTTTACATACACACCTTTCTACCCGTTCGATTTCTGATGGCCATTTGGGCCTTGGTGTCCCGTACGGTAGCGAGAATATTCCGATTTCGGAGCAGCGGTCAAAGGCTTTTGTATCCGGCGGAAATTTGCGATCTGCTCAAGGGCGTCATTTGGGTGACTGTAACGCTTATCATGCTGTCGGTAGACACAAATCGGGTGTACCACATCATCAAATCGCAGTCGATCATCAAACTGTACATATTCTACAATATGCTGGAGGTTGGCGATCGACTACTGTCCGCCTTTGGCCAGGATACTATTGATTCTCTCTTCTGGACGGCCACTGAGCCGAAGCATTCCAAGCGCGAACACTTTGGCGTTCTCACACACGTCCTATTCACATTGATTTATGTGTTTCTGCACAGCGGACTGATTATGTTTCAGGTGAGTTTTTAATTTGAATCCTGTAAGGAATCTATAAAATCCTTTTCCAGGCAACCTGTTTAAATGTGGCCGTAAACTCGAACAACAAGGGTCTGCTGACCATTATGATATCGAACAACTTTGTGGAGCTTAAGGGATCCGTGTTCAAGAAATTCGACAAGAACAATCTGTTCCAGCTGACCTGCAGCGATGTCCGGGAACGCTTCCACTTGTCCGTGCTGCTGTTCATCGTGGTGATCCAGACTATGAAGGAGTTCGATTGGAGCATCACCCAGTTCTGTGTGATGTTGCCCGACTGCTTCGCCGTGCTCTTTACTGAGATTCTTATCGATTGGGTGAAGCATGCGTTCATCACGAGATTCAACGAACTGCCGGAGAACATTTATCGAGAGTACACGACTAGCTTGGCCTACGATATGACCCAGACGCGACAGAAGCATGCCTTTTCGGATCACTCGGATTTAGTGGCTCGGCGCATGGGCTTCATACCGTTTCCTCTGGCTGTGGTCTTGATTAAAGCCATATATACCGCCGTGTCCTTTGAGAATCTGGCTGCCTGGCTGCTCTTCCTGCTGGCTTACTTATTTGCCCTAGGCCTACGCATCTGTTTGACTATCTGTGCCCTGGGCAAGGCTTGCAAGCTAATGAAGGAGCATCAGACGGAGCGGAATAGCTCCACGCCAAGTAGCATGACCAATGTGCCGCCAGTAGGAATTTCGGCGCCTGTCTCCTCCACGACTTCCTTGGGCGGACATAATCACAATAATAATAATAACATCAGCATTGGCAGCAAGCCAACCGTCCAAGTGTCCACTCTGCTGACACCGCCCAGCGTTAGTGCCAATCTCGATGTAAGCAATAATTTTTCACGAACCTCAATCGCCTCGACGTCGACGCCAAAAAAGGCAATCAGTGAACAGGAGCTGGATGTCACAAACTCACTGGAACTGGGAGCCACGGCTCTCTTCTCCAATAGCGATGTCGATTTGGATGATGTGTGCCTCAACGAGCAGGTGACAAACGTGACCAACGCAACTTCCGCCGCTCAGGAGGTGTACCAGGAACAGGACCTGGTGCGCAGTCAGCCGGATCTGATGCTGCTCGACGATTCCGGCGGTGGTGAGGCAAGTCCCAAGCAGGCCTTGTCACAACGGCTTCCAAAGCGAACGCACAAGCGATCCGAGTCGGAGCCAGGAATACCCAGCCTGGTAGACAAGGGAGGTGCTGCCGGGGGTGGTAATCAAACGACACAGCTGTAGCCATAATTCGATGCTAATTTATTATTATATTCTTTGGTTTGTACCTTGTACGTAGTTGCGTTGCGTTTTTGATCTTTCGTTTATCGGTTAGTTTTGCTCCTTGTAACATGATTAGACTACGTAAGTATAAGTGAGAACGGAATTAAAATGTATTTTAGTTGATAGCTCAAGACAGCCGTTCTCTAGGAAACAAAAGAAAACCAAAACAGTGCCTAAAACTGCTGGTGTGTGTGCTCCTAAAAGAATTTATGTAATCTTAATAAGTCACACCTGAGGGGTGGCACCCACATGGACTGTTAATGAAGCACTTGATAAATAAAATAAATATTGGAGATGTTTCCCAAAAAGCTTTATTACTATTAAATTTGATTAAAGTAGAATGTGGGATTAGGTTACAATAATGTAAATATAAAACTAGCTCAATTATACATTAGCCTTGTAAATAATATATTTTTAATTGATTTCCCAAGCAACACATTGTAAACTGCATTTTAGAAAATTTACTGCATTCTGATGGGTAAGCTATTGATCAATACCGTTTAATAATAATATTATGAATTGGAGGGAAATCTGTAGGATATCGTCTTTGAATCGAAACTATCTTTTGATTCGGAACTGCATTGATGTTTAGGTCGTAACTGCACAGAAAAAGAGTAATATTACTCATACGACGTGTTTTCCAGTTTCTAAATTATTCTTTTGAAACTGCTTAAGATTCTTTGGAATTAGAACAATATTTTGTCCTTTAACTCCGTTAAATATGCGAGAATTGGAATGAATAGATCCTTATTTCATGCTTCCATCGCAAAATAACAAGTAATATTCCTCATACGACGTGTTTGTCTGTTTATTCATTAACATCAAGGAAACTAAATTTGGGAAGCTGAAGTTTATATGCTCTTTTAGTTTGCATTTCCGAATCGGAAATCGATCATAAGTAAGCTTAAAACTAGGAGACTTTAAATTGTGGCACATTAATAAATAATATTACTCATACGACGTGTTTGCTGTTTTTAAATTCTTTATTTCAAAACTGCTTAAAATTGTTTAAAGCTGTAAGGAAAATGTTATTATTTAAGTTCCAAAGAGATATTTTTTTATATCTGTATATAATAGTAATAATAACAATAATAATAATAATAATAATAATAATTTGATTTGTCAAAAAATGTTCGTATGAAAATATCAAAGAATGCGAATGTTATTAGGGTCGATATTATCGATTTCCGATTGGATCGTATAATTTAATTGCAAAATACAATGTTACCCTTAAAAAAGCTTCAAATGAAGTTCTGTAAAAACTTTAAATATAAATATAACGAAAGAAAATAGTAGTTTGTTTCCTGATCAGGATTAAGATTTCTTGGTATAACATAACATTATTTATATGCTTTATTGTCTACAGTTTCTGGAAAAATAAATATGCTTATATAACTCTGTTTTTCAATACTTGTAAACTAAAGAACAAAACAATTTACAGCTCTCACCATATTCACTTTGTTGATATTCCCTTTAATACCCTTTAACACATATTCTCATATTTTGCTAGGAAGCTCTTTTACAAATCAGATAATTTGGAAACTCATCCTATAGATCAAAGTAATATATCATAGACTTAATGTTCTTTGTAGTTTTTATACTCCAGGGAACCATTAATCGCAACTCTGAGAATTTTCCTATAATAAAAGCTCAGTCGTAAGCCATATTCACCTGTCTCGAATGGAAAACGAAAGCGAAATTGATCAACATCCAACTCAAAATTTTCGCATCTAACCGAATCGTTGGCCTGCAAATAAATTATAATAATAATATTAATTAATAAATACACCTCAAAAGATATATAGTACCTTTATGGGGCAACTGTTGTTCAATTTTAGATAGGGTTTTAAATAGGCAAAGCCAATGGCTATGTATATACATGTTGTGCCTTTGCAGGAAATCGCACAAATCTACCGAAATGTTGTATAGGAAAGGCCTGACTGACTGAGTTCCTGTATCGATTTATAGCTTTCAGTTTGCACATCTCCATAATCGTGGTCATAAATAGTACAGTAAAGACTCTTGAATTTGCACTCCACTGGCAGCAGGTTGGCCAAAAGGCAAAGTATTAGCAAATAAAACATGATCTTTACTTATTTGTACTGATGTATGAAATGACAAAAATATTGCTTAACATGCTCACAGCTTGTCATTAAAATCAAATTTCATCATTCACTACCTCCCTTTTGGGGTGCAATACATTTACTTAATTAAAAGACAATTAAAAAACATTTAGGGTTTAAAGTGCGTGTTAATGAAAGAGTAATGCAATTTAAAGCAATTTTAATATTTAAAAACCATTAAAATATGTATGATATGGTTGGTAAATACATTTTTTTCTTTTATATATTAAGGCAAAGAAGTTGGTGCACTTTTCCATGAAATTTCACAAGGGAAGTGACATATTATTAAAAATTACTCATACGACGGGTTGGCCGGTTATAACTTTTTAAGGTTATCAAGAAGAAGAAGAAGATGAACAATTTTAAACCATTTATTTTATTATGGTTTTGTTGACCATACTGCAATGTTAATCTTTAACTCTCTGTAATAGTTGTTTGTATGTACTTATATTAGTCTATATATACAGTTTAGCATCTATTCATCATTCCATGTACGTATGTATGAGTAACCTTTAACATTTTCTAATCGGTAAGCTGACATTTATCCCCATTCACCCAAACCTAAGGATAAAATCAAATGACTGAATTTACCACAAAATTCCTATAGGCAAAAATTGCTTTCAGCTTAGCGAGAAATTGTTTTCTGGATTTGCTCCAAAAATTGTTGGTGGGACCATAAAGGGAAGGACCGCCCCCCCGTTGGATTCATGAATGAAAAGGTTTTTTTCCCCGCTTTTGTTTGTATTTGCACGCGTAGAAAAATCAACAAGCTGCAAATGGAGTGCGCGTTTAGCCCACATCCGCAACCGATTCTTGGCTCCAAATCCCAGTACCATCCCATCCCATCCCATCCCATCCGAGTTAACCAGTCCTCCTCCCCCAAGGGAACTTACACGCGCGTGTACGCAAAAACATCTACATATACATTTGTACACTTTTCCGCCACGGGGCGTATCAGTTTTATGAATGAAATTCTACGCTGACCTTGGAGCAGCGCATTGTGGTTGCGTCAGTGCCCTGAACAGGGGAAGTTTTCGAAATCGAGCCCAGAGCGAGTCCGCAGAGCTGGACGCATGCTCACCAAATCCCGAACCGAGTCCCCCCTAACTCCTTGTTGGCCATTTTCATTCATGAAAACCACGGCTAATTTCATGAATGGCTCTTTCCCTTTTCGGTTTCAAGGACACAACGCTCCAGCGGCATGGCGTCCTTATCGATTTTCCCTTTCGCATTTATGATGTACATTTCACATTCGCTTTCAGCGTGGGCGAAATTACGTTTTTCGTTTCCTCCATGTTAAATACAATTCTTTAGGATTTATGGCAGTCGTTGAAGCGTTTTGGGAGTTGCATTTAAAGCCAGCTTTGAGGAGAATTAAATTTTGGGTTTACTTAGGACACCAAGATATAATTTTCAACTTAACAGGTCTCCCTAGGCTACTGAATAAATGTGTTTTATAGAAAGGATTTTATACATTTATCGTTTTAAAATATGTTGCATAAATCTAAATACAAAATAATGGTTACTTTGAATTTTTTACTGAGACTGAGTTTTTTTTATCCGTTTTTAAAGATAGATATAATTTCGATATATCTTCTCTTAAATAAGTATTCTGGATTGATTCTGAGGTCGGGGATTCAAACTCATTTCAACAAATACCTTTGGGAAATACTATATATGTTCTGGTTCTTGGCTCTAAAAAATGAAGTCCTGTGTATTTTATATCTGTTATAAAAACGATTGAAAAATACATATAAAAGTAATTTGAATCTTAAAGCAACTTTAAACTCGAACTTAATATCTATATATATTAATACAATTCTTGTGGATAAATCAAACTTTTAAAAATGCTTAGCTAAGCCAAAATAGAATTCATTTTAATTATGTTATACTTGTTACAAACATGCATATTAAATGTACAAATAGAAATTATTCTAATTTTTTTGAATCAATAAATATTACTACTATATACTTTTTTTCTGTGTGTGATTTTTATGGGATACATAAAATATTCTACTAAATTATGATGTATTTAAATGTAATAGTTATTATGTGCATATAATTTTTTAGTAAAATAAGTTTGTAGAATGTAATGAAATAATCATTTAAAGGAACTGGAAGGTCTTCTGTCCTCCCTAATATTTAATCCTTTAACTAAGATTGCATCAGTTACATCTTCCTATATAACTCTTTAATGTGAAATGTTGTAAAGATATTCGTGTTGCTTACTTGCAGGCTGACTTAGTAATTGCATGACGATGATGCCTTGCATAGTTTTGCGAGAGCCATAAAGTAAAAACTTCTCTAGGATCTGACACATCCGGCCGGAGGCAGCCCGTTGGCCTGCGTTAAAAATAGCCTTGAGTAAGTTCACGGAGAGAAGGCTCTGGGCATATGTATAGTATGTACATCTAAAGTTTAGTACACAAGTTTTATGAATGAAAGCACCACACCCAACACACACATCCAGGGCAATGCTTTACCTTGCTCTTGACTGCCGCTCTGCCCCATAATTTATCGATTTGCACTCTCCGTTGGCTCGGGACCTGCGCACTGCCCTCCGGATGTACATACATACATATCTGTATGAGATAGCGATGCATGGATGTACATACATACGTATGGCTAAGACCCCAGCTGCTTATCGTTGACACATTGACGACAATGAGCTTTGCCCCAATGCAGCCCGTAACTGTTGCTTCACACTGACGTCATAGGAGAAGCGATGGGTATGCCTTTGGTACTGGCCACATACATAATTATCGAGGGATAGCCTAGTTAATGTTACATAATAAGGATTACGTATGCAAAATAAGTCCTTTATTAAATCATTCAGGCTTGAATTGCTGGCACTCAGATATCCTGAAGACCATCGCTGACGTAGTCACGAAACCACTGGAACGTCTCCAGCCAGCGTTGCAAGTAACTTCCCAGGACATATAGCCGAACCGGTTGATAGTCCTCCTCGATCTGGTCCATACCCGTGGAATCGCTGGAGCTCTCAATTTCGCTGTCCGTATCGTCATTGGACAACAGGACATCCAGGGCGATAAGGAAGTGCAGCAAATAGACCACACTGCATGCCAGTGAGGCTGTCGCCTGGGAACGTATTAATTTAAAGTATGATTGCAGTTTCTCCTCCGGTTTGAACAAATCCTTATTCGTCGTTTTGGGGAACATCAACGTAAAGTCATTCTCAGCATGATACAAAGCTAACATTGTTAATAGCGTATACGAAATAAATGCCACCAACGGGCGCAAAACTTCCTCAAGGATCGAGGGTTGGTTCTTAGTACAAACGTTCACGCAGGCGAACAGTGTCATCACAGTGAAGAAGTAGTAGCACACCAAGTAGCTGTAGTACCATGTACTTTTATTCACCAACTCTTGAGTTTCATGAATAAAATTCAATAGGGATAGGTAATAGTGGATCAGGATAATGTTAACTAACGTCTCCACCGTGTAAAATAGGAACAGAACTGGTCGGATTTGATTTAAGTAGCTCATTTTGTACGTGATTGATATTGATTATAGTTATAGTTACGGTTGACAGGAAAATCAGGGATTACTTGTGACTATCTTTGTGGGAGACAAGGTTTTTTTGTTCCATAAATCTAAATGTACAACTTAGTTGTAGTCTTGAGTTTTTTAAAATTCAATAGAGTTCTCCATAAGTAATAATAGATTAAAGTGAAGTGTGTAGTATATATTAATTTGGTAGTTATTCAAGGGTTTTAAGACATACAATTCATTAGAGAGGTTACAGCTTTCTTTATCTTTTATTAAAATGTTATTTAAAATTATTATGCCTTTCACACAGTAACCATTTAATTTCTTTAAGGATACGGTTTTAATATGGGATCGAACTCTAAAAACTCTTACTTCAAAGATGAAATGTATGAAGTATTATAATTATAGTTTGTATAAATTTGGTTTAAGGATCATCCAAAAATTTGACATTGTTTTGATCTTTGGTTGTGTCCAGAAGAGTTCAACAAAGTGTGTGTACATCCAGGTGCAAAGGTGCAAAGGTATAGATACTTTTCATTACTGAACCCAACCGAGACACTTTTGTTGTGGCGACGGTGCCGTCCGTCCTCCTCCTCCTCCTCCTCTCGGTTGGAAAGCTCTGCTTGGGCTCGGCTCATCATAAAAAAAACCACTTCACATTTGCTGCTTCTGGTGCTTCTGTTGCCTCAGTTGCCGGACGAACTGCGTCTGCCTGCCGGTTGCCGGTTGCCAGTTGCCGGTTGCTGGAAACAGTAGCAACATTTGCCTGCCAGTTTGATGCTGTTGACTGCTGTTGACGGCGATTAAGTTGATGACGCGAGACCGCAACGAATTTACGCGCAATTCTCCACCGTGCTTGTGCTTCAGCTCAAGTGCTGGGAGGAGGTGGAGGACTCCATGGCCCAAGCGGCCAGCGTTTAAATAAATCTGTGTACACACACAACAGTCCACAGTAGGGCGAAAATGTTAGCACAATACAGAGTATTTAAATTAAATCAGTCAGAAAATGTACATAATATCTTAAGCATAATTTTAGAGTCAACTGAAAATAAGATTTCGTTTACTCTAAGTTTTCTAATAGTAATATAAATATTAAAATATATTAGAAAGTTCGTTTAGAAAAAGAAGATAGGTCTTTACAACTTATTAAACGATTAATTTATAAAAATGTCTTATATTTTATAATATTTTTAAAGAATTAAAAAAAAAGATAAATCGAAGTGAAATCTATAAGAATTTGATATATTTCATATAATTTTAATAAATGTAGAAGAGAGATTTCGCATTAAAAGGGTCAGTTAAAAGAATTTTAACACATTAAACGGTCTTATAAAAATTAGCATTTAATTGGCATAAGACTCGGCCTAAATGAATTTTAGTTTCAATATAAAACTTAGTTCATTTATTGGTAACAACTTTTAATATTTCAGGTTTGGATCCATCATTTCAAAAACGTATTACTATACATTAAATTTCTCATTTTAAAAGACAAATATTAAGCCACTAATTTTCTAGACATATAAAACAAGAAGAAAATAAAAAAAAATTAATGAATATTAAATTAAGCTCATTGATATAAAAGTAATTTATTTAAATATTTTTCCACTGGCGTAGCTTAATCCTTTTGTTGGCCAAAAAACACAGAACAACAACTGCAACATGGGGCAGGAAAATAACAAATCTGTGCAACCCATTGTTGTTGTAGCCACTGTATTGCCTGTTTTCCATGTGTGTGTGCAAAGTAAAAGGGTTAATTCATTTAACCATTTCGACTGCGTCATCTCTTGTGGCTTCTTAACATAAGAGAACAACAGCGGTGGCGGTAAGAATGGGTTTTTGCGAGGGGGAAAGGGGAACTCTGCTGCAATTTTGACAAGCGAAAACACCGCGTTTTAGCCAACTTAAGTGCAACAACAAAAGGGTCATATGGTGGTATTGGTGTTTGTTTTTTTGTTGTTTTTTTTTTTGTTTTTTTTTGCATCTTTTTCGTCTTTGTTGTTTATTCCGCTCGAAATTCCTGGGATCGCACAGTAGTCATCCTTAACTCCTCTCATCTGAGGCTCAAGTTGAACAACTTAAGCGCGTGTGCCCTGCCCAAAACACTAGGTGGTTTATTTATAATAATATTTATTTCATACGATTTGTGGGATTTTTGTTTTCCTTTTGTCTTGTCCTTGTTTTTGCCAACATCTTGGGAAAATGTCCCTTCATTATCAAGGAAAATATCCAACTGAAAGCTCTTCTATATTTCGAATTAACGAAATCTTTTTATAACATAAATTTTATATTGTTTAGATCTAATTACTTCACAGAACTGACTATGAAATACTAATGTTAATCCTAAAATCCTTTTTTAACTGTATCCTAAGATCCTTTACTTAGTGTCTGCATATTATAAATATACTGTTACTGTTCCATAGATTCATATACTACATTCCCATTTCATAATTCCCTTTAATTAGTTTGTTTAAATTTAAATAACTCAAATGTGGAAAAAAACAAAAATATAACCCATAGTTGTGATAACTTTAGCTCCTGTCCTAGGCTGCGCTATAAACTCGACCAAATACAATTTAATATTGGACATCATTGTACTTACTTTCCCTCTCCCCCACCCCTCCCCCTACAATTAGACCACTTGGAACGGTTATGTAATCGGGCGCAGTGCTGCAAATTGCCCGGCGTTACACGCCCATCCCAGGGGGCATGGGCGGACGGCCGGCCACATGCCATTACATGCGGCTAAATGCAAGTGCATAAATAACAATTACAGCTGCCGCACCGGCGGGAGCAACAATAATAGCAATAATAGGCAACTCGGCCGCTCAGGTGTCAATTGGGGGCCCCGGTGACCGGCGGCCATTTTGCAAAAGCGCATTCTGCCGATCGCCATATATCGGCATATAATGCCCGTTGATTATTATGTTTACACTATGCGGGTCCCCATTTGCTGGCCAAGATTGCCGGTGTACCGGTAATGATCCCAGACCGAGCAAATCTCAATGCAAATCAACGGCAATTAATAATTCATCGCCCGCTGGGCCTCCTTCCACGGCCTCCGAATCCAATGGCAATTATGCGCCGGCCTGCGGTCCCCTCCCAAAACGAAAGGGGAAAGGGGGGAAGGGAGGGTGGGGACCTAGAGGAAAGTGTAGCACAATAAGCTGGAAAACTCCATGTGCCGGCCAGCTAGAGGTTGGTTTGGAAAACTTCCTCGTATGCAGGGAAAAGCAGGAGCGCTAAAAGAAACATTTTGAGACTCTTTCTTTATAAATCGAAAAGAGGGATTTTTTATAATTATAACTATAAAATAAATATGTTTAAATATGGTATTTCATCGGGCAATATATAGAAATCAATAGTAGGTTTAAATAATTTTTAAAAAGATGTTTATAAGAACTTAAAAATATCTACCAAAAACTGTCCTCAAGAGTCTTGAATTTTTAGTTCCTGTAATTAGTTCCTATAAATATACGTTTTCCAGTCAAAGGATATTGAAATAAAGTCTGAAAATAATAAGAATTATTATGTTTGTATAGTTAAAGTTAGAAAGTAATTTAAGATCAGTTTTTTCCCAGAAATCTCTTGGGTTTTAAAACCCTTAAAAAAATGGTATAACATTACAACCATATATGCATAGTATATTAAATACCTCAAAATGTTATTGTACAATTTTAGATACCTTTCTTAAAAAGGGATTTCAAGACCTAAGAGATTTTAGATATTGACTTCATCTAGGACCACAAAACTTTCTCTATACATATTTACTGCAGGAATGCAGCTAAAACTCTTAAATCTCACCTCGCATATCTAAGTAAATCGTTGCCTATATTCAATAAAATAAATTTAATATGCAAAACAGCCGGACAACAGTCCGAAGCAGCAGCAGTACAAACTGCTCCAGTGGCCGCCTGTCGTCCAATATCAGCAAATTTGCAATAAAATATTTGTCTGGCCGCAGATCGAGTGCCTCAGAGGAGTAAGGGGTATCATCGAGGTTGGCCAACAGTGGGTCGAGTTGAGTCGAGTCGAGTCGAGTCGCCGCCTGGCTACTGCAAATTATTTATTTGCACCTTTCGCCGCCATCGTCCGGGCCTCCTCCTCCTCATCCTCCTGCCATACATGGTCTCTTTCTCCTGGTCCGCATTTCCATTTGCTTATCAAATCGCTGGCAATCGGCAGAGTGAGAAATGCAGGGCAAATATAAATATTAGCCGCCTGGAAAACGGGTGCTCCACAGGCCAAAGGGGGAGAGTCGCGATCTAAGACTGGCGTATGAAATTAGGCGCTGCCAATGCGCCGCCAGCCATTTCGACCTGTCCGATGCATGAAAAGTGTGAAAACGAATTAGTGGCCGGGAACTGGACAACTTAGATTCCCGATTTCCCAGATGTAGCTGCAACCTGGCACTGGAACTGGGACTACGACTCCGATTCCTACGAATCTGACTGACGGAAGGAATGAGAGCTAAGGGCAGACAGAGGTCGCAAAAGTTATTAAGGTCTTTGGATTTCGTGATTTTTCAAGCAATGTGGGTGAGCCAGGGTCTGCTATAACCATATAAAGGTTGAGAATGTGGTATATGTTGGATTTTTTTAAAAGGAATCTTGACTCTCTTATGGGTGGTTCCTATAACCATCTTTGTTATCTAAAAGGAAATTTTAGCAGAGTATCTTTGATTAGGTTTTTCAATGCAAACAAAGGAGAGATGAAACAGGTTAAGACTCCCAGGTAAACATCGAATACCAACATATACTAAAATATAAAAAATTTTTAACCAAATTCCTTATGCCAAAAAAAGTGCATAAATTTATGCCTGATCTCTTTGTGGAACAGCTGTCTTCTAACCACTTTCAACACATGTCCCCTTGTTTACGATTGTCCATCGCCATTCGATTTTGCTCCACAAATGCCAGGCCGGAAAAGCTGGGGAACCAAAGCTAAATTGTCACTTGCACATGGGCGCCCAATAATTATAACAATGGGTGGGCCACGGCAACAGACGGCGCCGGCCATGGGAGCTGTAAACT